CTGCTGCTGGGAAATGTTCATGTCTTTGTGAATGTTTAACTAGCTCCAGGGGCTCCCCAGCCTGTGAAGCTCCCATGTGAATGCTCCCAACCTTGGGAGAACAGAAAAATTAGAGGGCTGCTTTCCAACCTGCCAGATGTGGCTTTCAAAGACACCTAACACGATAAATGAGAGGCATACAGCCTCGGGAGTAGCACTGGAGGATGCTGAGCAAGCCAGACAAAGCCTGAGCTGGCCCAGTTGTGTCAAAATGGCATGTAGGGGCAGGAGCTGAGTGGCACCAGACTTTCTGCTGCTCTTGATGTACCTCATCCCAGGAGCCAGCTGGCAGGCTGGAGCGTGGAGCATAGTTGTGCTCCAACGCGCACCAGAACAGGTAATTGGTGGGTTGGTGCTCAAATGTAAAATCCAGAGCACAGGAATGTGACAGCAAACCTGTCTCTTTGAGAGCTGTGCCCTCCTGTCATGTGTAATTAAAATTTGCTAGAAGATCAAAACCTTGTTGCTGAGGACAGATAGAAAGATTGATTGCACAAGTTCTATTATGAAACCAGCCTAAAACCAAATCAAAACATGATAAGACAAGGCTAAACAGCACTGGTTTTGAAGAAAACACTGTTTTTATCTCATCTCCTTCCCTGAAGGTATCTATAATGTACTTACAAGTCAGCACATCTGGAAAGCAAGACACACAGTCTCGAGGTGGGCTTCATGGAAAGAAAAACACAGAGGAAGGGTTATCTGGTGAAAAATGTCATTGAGAGCCTTTGTGGCCAACAACCCTGTTCTCCAAGGCTTCATCCTCTTCCTTCAATCCTCTGAATTGCCCTTTATTTCCCTTTATTTATCTCAGTCGCTATGTCAAATCCTAGCCCTGATCTAATGCAGAGATGTGCTAGAAAGTCCCAGCCAGTCTAAGGATTTCTAATATTAACCAAACACCACGTTTCTCCTTTACTTGTTTTTCTACAGAGTCAAATTTTGTGTTTTCAAATTCTTGAAGTAGATGAATCCTCTCTACTGTCACCACTGCTCCTGTATGAGTCAAACCTGGGGAGAGAAACGTTTCAGCCTTAGGTGGTTAGTTCAGCAAACTCAGAAGTGTTTGAAATTCAGGATTGTATGTGGTGAAAGGTGTTCGGCATCTGTAACCATAAGCAGTACTTCAAACCCCAAGCAAGTGTAGCTAAGGTTGCTATGTACCAGATGAAAGACTCTCAGTATATACTAAAAATAAATAGAGATAATAACCTGCAGAAGCCACAGTTACCTCACCAAGGTTTAATCAAATGTCCTGGCTTCCTCCTTTTCTGTTTCCCAGCTGCCTTGGGACAGTCCCCCGTAGGTTGTTGCCCAGCTTTGCCTGAGAAGTTAAGAATGAGAAGGAAATCTCTGCATTGGACTTGATTTTCCCCTCTCGCATGGGGTGTGCTTCATCCCAGTACTGCCCATGCCCAACAGGCTTCAGCCAGAAAGCAGGAGGACACAAGGTAGAGCCACATGCCCTACGTGCCTGTGGAGGTCCTGCAGTACTCAACAAGTTCCTGGGTGCTCCTGCCATCACCCGGCTCAGGAACTCCCAGAGCCCTGTCCTGGGCACATTATGTCCATCTGTAAATGCCTCTTGCACTCAGTTTCTAGCACCCAGGACCTCTGGGCAGCCTTCATCCATCAAGGGCTGTTTCACTTCAGTCCCCTGACCCAGCCCATGCCCAGGGAAGCAGAGGTTCCCACAGTGCCACACAAGCCATGTCCTGGGTAACCCTTGATGCTTCATCAGTGTTGATAAATGCTTCATCAGGGGATGCACCCATGTGTCCCACCAGGGATCATGCGGGTGCCCTGGCCCTCCTGCTGGCACCTGTAGGATGTCTTGGGAGAAATATATTTACAATATCTGGGGGAAAAGAGCAGAGCAAAGGGGGTGAGTGTTCATAAAGGCTCTGGTCAACCGGTTCTTGGACTGAGCCTTTCCTCACCATGGAGGTAGCTATTGCTGCCGGGGTTTTGCAGCAGCACCCTGGGGCTCCCATTGTCTCTCATTTGTCCTTTCATTTTCCCTAATGCTCGACTGAGCTCTGCCCACTCATGAATTCCTTCAAACTTGGAAAAAGGGTCAAACACAAGCTTAAGAGGGAAGTGCTAGATTGAGACAAATCCCCATCTAGTTCAGCGACTAGTAATGGATGTGTAAAGTCACTTTCTGGTTTTCAAGACTTCAAGTCTACTCTATTCATGCCGCTCCCTGCTTCCAATCACTCTCCTCCTTTCTCTGTACCTCCTCTAGGTTTACTCCATGCGAGGTGAGGGGACCACCATTGCATGTACCTTGCAGTAGACCAAACACGTGCAGATGGTTTTTTGCTCTATTCCCAATTACATTGCTAATTATTCTTGAAGGAGGGCTATTATGCCTGAAAGCTTGTCAACTTTTTTCCAGCTGTATCAGCTTACCTAATAGAAAATATTATTGTCCTCTATGGACTTTGCTTCTTCTATATGCTTAGATCATCGTGCTTACAAAAGTTTTAATACTAATTATTCCTAAGATAGAATTTGTCTTTTAATTAATACTAATTATGCTTAACATTGCATTTTTCTTTTTGAGCAGTGTGGACAAGTGAGCAGATGTATTCACAGAGCAAGTCAAGATCTCTTTCTGAGTGCCGATTAACAGCTAACGCTCTCCTGTGGGTCATCACCACGTGCATTACATTTCACTGGCAGACACTGCCGTTTGCCTGCCAGTCACTGAGAGATTTGTAAGGCTTCTTTTGCAGTACTTCACAGTCAACTTTACATTTTACCAGAGTAAATAATTTAGAATCATCTTAATCAATTTAGACATCTGTTTATCCCATTTCCCAGGTTCTGCATAAACAAATGCATACTACTTTCTGTTGTAACAGCTGAGCATCTATTCCTTTTCCCTCATTCTTATTTTGTCTCCAATTACAAAAGCAGAGAGGTTCCCCCTGTTATTTCAGTTTTATTTAAGGATCTTTTGCAAGATATCTTAGGGGGAAGTGTCTCAAAAAGCCAAGAGGACAAAGTATGAACTTTTTCACTTTGCTGACTCCTCAGATCTGTTTGTGAGACATGATTTCTCTGTGCAAACAGGGTGCTAACTCTTCTGCAACAGAGCATATTAATTCTTGTGTCTCAGCTCCTTAACTGCAGTGTCTAATGGACTTGACCAGCACAGTACCGAGACTCACTGGTCTGCCGGTCCCCAAAGCACGCATCAAGTCTCTGGTTTTATGCAACGGGTGTATTTAGGATGAGCTGTTATGCTTTTATTTCTTTGTCCTGCCTTGTTTGGACTTGATGCTTCATTTGCCAGAGTTGTTGCTTTCCTCCTTCCACTGTTCAGGCAGGACTCACAGCCAGTCCCTCTCTGAAGGATGTCTGTTTACTTCCAGCTGTTGTGTTCAATCTCCTGTGCAACTACACTGCCATTCTCCCAGAGCAGGTTTCCAGTAGGTCACATATATATTTACTTGAACCTTTCATGTGATGTCTTCAAACAATTCACCCTGTCTGAATTCACCCTTTTAGTCACTCCTTTTGCTTCAGCCAGATGCTCCATTTCTGTGTACTTTTCCCTTTTCAGTTACTCAGTATTATGTGAGTATTTTGGGTTGCTGCTTCTGCTAGGAATCTCTGACTATGTCAACATGACAGGTGCCTTTTCTACAGTTACTTCTTGAACCCGTGCAATTCTTTGCACTAAATCAAGCGTTACTTCTCTGACTCACTTTTCCAGCCACCTGGCATGCTCAAATAGACCAACTGTGGCTTTGCCCTGATTTATCCTCTCTGTACTGGGGGGACCCAAGTCCCTTGTTACCCCTGTTTTCTGCGCTGGCACGTCTCTGAGCTGCTCTTGAACTCTGAGATACCTGTCAAGGTCCTGTCAGTTGCCCAATGTCAAAGCCAGCCCCAATACCAGGTTGCCCCTTTCTAAGTCCAGGATTGCAGCTCAGGAGGATGCTGGAGTAATTATTGATCTAATTAACGTATCTACTGGATTTAAGACCACTCTTTTGAGGAAGCATTATTTTCACTTATGTGCGAGTGGAGTTCCTTTTAGCCTAGCTTGGGCTTGTTGCCTCTTTGCTGTGCATCTTGGAGAAGATGCTGGCTGGGCTGCCCCAGAAGGGCTGCCCAGGCAGAAAGTGGTCCCGGTGTCACAGCAGAGCCCCCAGGCAGGCGTGTCCCGGCAGGGATGCCCTGCATGCTGGCAAGGAGCCTGGGCAGGGACACTGCAGTGCCCCAGCACGCGTGCTGGTTTGGATACCCCAGTGCCCCAGCAGGCTGGGGTGCTCCAGTGCCCCGGTGAGGAGGTCTGGGGGAGGATGTCCCAGCGCCCCAGGGGGGATGCCCAGGCAGGGCTGCCCTGTGTCCCTGGCAGGGGCGTCATCCGGGATTCCCGAGCTGGCCACAGGCTGCAGTTGGACCCCTCCTCACACACAATTTGCCTCCCCTTCCCCAGATGAATCAACAACCCCCCCCCCCCCCCCCCCCGCCTCAGCCTCAACTCGTCCCCGACCCTCTCCCCGAGGGCCCGGGGGCGGGGGCCGCGCTCCCGTCGCCGGAGCCCGGCTGGCAGCCGGGGATGCCCGGGGGGTCCCCGGGGTGCGGAGCTCCGTCCCCCCGCGCCCGCGGAGCGCCTCCCCGGGCGGGGCCGGCCGCGCTATAAGGGGTGGTGGCGGCGGGGCCGGGCGCGCTATGGGGAGCGGGTGGTACGGCGCGGCGGGGATGGCGGCGGGACAGGGGCGAGGGGCTCTGCTCTTCCTCCTCTTCCTCCTCCTCCTCCTCCTCTTTCTCGTCCTGCTGCTGCTGGGCTGCTCCCGGCCGCTGGCGCTGCGGCGCGGCCCCGGGCAGGTGGGCTACCTGCCGGCCCCCGGGCTGGCCCGAGGCCGGGCTGCCCGCCGCCCCCGCCGCCCCGGCGCCCTCCCACCGCCCTACCCCAACGGCTGGTACCGCCTGCTCGACTCCGCGCAGCTGCCCCGCGGAGCCGTCCGCAGCCTCGCCCTGCTCGGTGAGTGCCAGCCCCGACGGGCGCCCTCGACCCCCGCCCGAGCAACCGGCTGGGGGGGGCGGGGGGGGGAGGCGAGTCCGGGCATCCCGGCCGGTGGGCAGGGCATCCCTGGCCGGGCATCCCCGCTGGGCAATCGGGCATCCCTGCCCGGGCAGCGGGGCATCCAGGCCAGCACCCGTGCTGCGGCACTGGCACATCCCAGCCGGCATCCCCGTTGGGTCACCGGGACATCCCTGCCCCGATGTCCCCATTGGGGCACCAGGGAATCCCGGATGACGCCCCTGCCAGGGACACAGGGCAGCCCTGCCTGGGCATCCCCCCTGGGGCGCTGGGACATCCTCCCCCAGACCTCCTCACCGGGGCACTGGAGCACCCCAGCCTGCTGGGGCACTGGGGTATCCAAACCAGCACGCGTGCTGGGGCACTGCAGTGTCCCTGCCCAGGCTCCTTGCCAGCATGCAGGGCATCCCTGCCGGGACACGCCTGCCTGGGGGCTCTGCTGTGACACCGGGACCACTTTCTGCCTGGGCAGCCCAGCCAGCACCCACGTAGGGGCACAAAGGGTATCACAGCCTGGGCTGTTGCATGGGCATTGAGTATCCCTCCTGGGGAACTGGGGACATCATGGCACAGGCTCCTTCAGAGTGGGCAGGGCACCACTGTCTCATCTCTTTGCTGGGACACAGGAGCATCTCGCCGCCTGGGCTCTCCTCCCGGGCATTGCTGCCTGCAGCTCCCCATGTCCTGGGGAGATCTGGATGGAGCCTCACAGCCACATCCAGAGGGCTGCTCTGCTTGTCCAGGGTCCTCTCACCTTCAGGATAGTTTTGGACTTGTGCTGGTGCCCTGGTGCCTTCCTCTTCAGGAGGGATGTTCCTGTGTTGAAATCCCTCAGATTCAGTGGTGAAACTCTGAGGTTTTTTTCTATATTCAAGAGACATCCTCTACTTTGAAGTTGGTGTTTTTTGGTGTTTTTTTTGTTTGTTTGTTTGTTGTTTTTTTTTTGTTGTTGTTTTTTTGTTTTTTTGGTTTTTTTTTTTTTAATATAATGGGACCTATGTAATTCAATATGTACATCCTAGAGAGGCCCCACGAGCCTGTTATGACTCCCTTGGTTGTCTGCCCAACGCCTGGTTCCTGGAATCCAGTCCTGTGGGTCTGGCTGAAATGTGCAGGTAAAATCACTTCTAATGGCAGAGTGACAGTAGTGTACCAGTGCCAGGAAGATCATCAGTAAATAAGACATTTAAACAACCCGTCGCCTCCAGGTTTGTGGGTGTGTAATTTATTTTGGAGTATCTGAGCATAGCCTGGAAATGCAGCCCTGCTCCAGAGGCAGGGAGCCAGAGGAGATGAAAGAATAAAAATCATTTGACTCAGAGCCTGCAAGACTCATCCTTTGGGATGGGACACTTTCCAAAACACGGCATTGAGCACAGAGGAAAGCCCTGTTCTCTCCTGAGGTTGTGGAAGTAGGGTGAGAGCTGCTCCGGTCCGGGGGATGCTGCGTGGCACCGCTGTCTGGGTGTTTGCTGCAGGGAAGCTGCTCAGCCCCTGGTGAGGCTCCTGCACAGGAGAGCCCAGAGGGGCTTCTGTGAGCCAAGTGCCCAGAACTGCACGGTGGCCTTGGGGCTCTTTATGTCCCATGTGCTATTCTTGCTACAATCGCTGCTTGTTTTCCATAAAAGAAATAGGATAATTCAATAGGGAAACATCAGCATGTGACTGTTAATGTTCTAATATTCACCTGCAATGGAGTTTTTCAGTATACTGAAAAACGATATACAATATCCTGAGGCTGGGATACTGTCCTCCCAAATGGAGAGACATCAGATTTGATGCACAAATCAGAGCAAAGATCCATTTTTTCTCTTGCTCTGCTGGCTCCAGAGTGAAAATGCTGGGGGCAAAAAAGCTGCACTCGCTCAGGAGCCCTGGGTGAGGTTTTTGGACAGCCCAGCAAGGGTCTGGCCATGGGCACCTCTTCAGATCTTTGAGGCAGAATTGCTCCAGATGGCCTGTATGAAGGAAAGCTCTAGAAGTGGGACCTTCTTGGGGTAAAACCATCTTAAAACTTTGGTAGGCAAAGCACCAGGCTGCAGGGCTGCTCCTTGGGGCATGTGGCTGGGACCACCCTGAGCTCCAAGTGCTTTGGTCTGACCCATCCAATGCTGCTCCTGGTGAACCTGCAACACTTCCAACAACAGGCAGAAACCCTCACCCTGCCCCCCTCTCTTTTACCCTGAACCTCAGCAGATGTGTGAGAGCCTTCCAGAAAGACTGCAGGGACAACAGCCAGGTGTCCTGGGTAAGGAGGGAACTCCAGGCACTGGAGTTCAACAGCTTGTTTCTGCCAGATATCAGAAATAATCCTTCCTAGGCTTGAAGGCTGGGAAAGTGTGCAGGGCTTCCTTTTCTTTGCCTAAATCACAAAACTTCAATCAAGGAAAGTGGGTTTGGGTGGGCTGGCTCACACCAGTTCACTTGTCATCAGTGTGGCTGTCTGGGAAAATACTGACAGAACTTGGCTCCCAAAGTTTAGTTTTGTCTTATTTCTCACTAGCTGAGCTTTAAGTTACACCAACGACTGTAACGATCAGATTTCACAGGCTGATGAAATCTGAATACATATATGCATAACCTGAAACACAGTATGGAAGAGAGGACCTGGCCTTTAACTCGGTGGCCACAGCTGTATGAACAGCCCCTGAGTGCTTCTGAGCTCCCAGACCAGCTGTGTGTCCTTCCAACCAGGACGTGACCTGGGGTGGGGGACACAGGAGCAGGTCTAGCTTTGCTGAGAAGCTGGTGAGCTCCCATCTCTGCTGAGCCACTGGCAGGTCTGCAGTGCCACAGCACCCTTGGAGCAGCTCTGGGCCAGGCCAGGAAAGTACTCGGAACCTACTCGGTCCCTCCAGAAAGAGCATTTATTTAGCTAATACTGTGGGAAGCCATCCAGCCACGGGTGCCTTGCACAGCTGGGTGGAGGGGTGCCATAAACAGATCTATGGCTATAGCCCGGGTACTGTCTGTCTCTCCATTTTAAGAGTTCCTTGCTCAGCTAATGTGGCGCTACCCTGGGGCTGGGGAGGAAGAGGACGATCCCAGAACTGAGCGGGGACAGATCCCAGCAGGACAAACCTCACACTGCTTCAGGGAGTACAAGGAATCAGGCCCAGTGATGGAGAAAAAGCAAGTCTGAGTGCTGGGGCAACACAGCCCCAGCCACCCCAGTGCTGACTCTCCACTCCTTATGTGGAGCAGACCATAGCCAGGGGCTTCCCTTCGCTTTGCCAGAAAACTCCCTTTTGCTGAGGAGGTGTCAGTGCTCTGGCTCGCAGCACCCAGCCATTGCTATCGAGGAAGGGATTTGCTGATGAGCTGCAGTGTGGACAGCCCTTGCAGTTCAAGAGGAAAAAGATGAAGTGCTTTTCCTTCCAGCTACTGTTATCAGAGATTCCTGAAATGTATGAGCTTGTGTGCTCTCCTCATACACCTCTTGGGCAAAGGAATGGAGTACTCTAAATGCAGCTATCGCTCTTCTCTGTGTATCTGTCCCTTAGCAGGGGAAACATCCTAAATCTTTAAACATTTTTGTGAAGGCATCTTTTATCCTGCAGCTGAAACAGGCTCTGCGAGCTCAGAAAACAGAACTGACACTCAACGCCATGAGGGTTTAGAGACAACCAAGAGAAACGAGGCTCCCCCCTGCCAGGAGCAAGGCAGTGCCCTCCAGCACGGGTGTTTGTGTCCCCCCTGGGGACACCGGGAGCTGCCCCGGTTCTGCTGGTGCCAAAGTGCTGCATGTGAACACGAGGTGGGACGGGCCGCTCACTGCTCTGGGATGACTTTTAAACCTGGGCATAGAGCTGACAGCCTCCACACCCTGGGCATTTCCAACAGCAGCTGCCATCCCAATTTTCCCAGGCCCTTTTTGCAGCCAGTGAACACCTCTCCTGCCCGCAGCCCCGGGCTGCAGCTGCCTGGTGCCATCTCGTGGTTAAAGAACTTCTCCGGAGCAACCCTATTTCTTCCACTAGATCTTCCACTACAAAGGGAAGACAACCTGCAGTATTCATTTTTAGCAGGATATTCCTGCTTGTCTTTGCACAGGCAGGGTAAAAGCGCCAGTCGGTGCTCTCTGTTCAGAAGGAACAATTGCCAAGCAACGTGCCTCTTACCTGACCCCCCTCACTGGGGGATGTTGTTTTTACAACTTCAGAATCTCGTATTTCTGCAGGAGAACATCTTGCTGCGTTTCGCACCCAGGATGGCCAAGCCTACGTGCTGGATGCTTACTGCCCTCACCTCGGGGCCAACCTCGCCGCCGGCGGGCGCGTCGTGGGCAGCTGCATCGAATGCCCGTTTCACGGCTGGCAGTTTCGAGGAGAAGATGGAAAATGCACCCTCATCCCGTACACTGAAAAAGGTGAACATGCCTCAAATCCTCAGCGAGCATCCGCAGAAACAGTAGTGCCCTGTGTGTCCTCATTAAAAGCTACTTCCGTAAGGAAAAATGGTCCTAACAGTAACTCACCCTCCCTCCTGCTCCCCTATTTCATGCAACACCCTAATTCTCCTCCTGGGTTGTCCAGGTTGGTGCATAATGTTCTGGTGCCCTTTCCTATGTTAGATGGTAACTGGGACTTCAGTCTAGTTAAGTAACCTCCCTTCTTTAATTTAATAGTCCTTTAACTCCTGCATGCAGCAAGTAGGGTATAAAAGATTTTTAACTCTGAGCCATCCACTGCACCAGCAGAGATGGATACTGAAGAGCTATTAGGTTTCAGAAATGGTTCTGTACTCTACAGTGACAGCTTATACCATGTCAGTGCTTAAATCTGTCTCCTTAGCATGACAGATTAGTCTCTCAGTGGCAACTTTTTCTCCTTTTAAGGCCTGAAGGGAACTTTTGTTTGGAATCCAGAAAAGCTCTTTGCGTGCACCCACCTTTTAGATATGGCTGGCATTGACTGTGTAGGAAGGGTATCTCACTTAAAGTTCACAGGTAACAATTACTTGATCTGGCTGCACTGATTAGTTTAAATCACCAATTCTAGGTGTGGCTGAAACCAGGAAACAGACTTACCTCGAGTTTTGCATTGGCTTGTGCTTCTTAGTCATTTTCCTGAGAAATTCAGCATCCTCTATTTGGGATTGACTGGGACAGCAATGAAAACATTGATGAACAGTAAAAGTCAGTCTTTCTACTAACAGACTGTTTTTCCCCAAGTGAAAGAAACATTCCATCTATAAGGGATAAGATAAACAATTTATAGATCTCACCGAACAGCAACTCCTTGTGTGTGTGTGTGTTATTTTCAGAAAAAAAGATTAAAAATGTATTTTTTCCCCCCATACCTACTCAGTCAGGAGCTGCATTTGAATGAAAATTTGGTTCCAAGTAATGAGCAATGATGTGTTGCATCACAAAATGAGAATGAATATTCTGGACATCTACAAACGCTTGCCAAGATGCATTGTTTCATCTGAAATGGCTGTATTCAGAGTCATTGTTATACGCAGTTATTAAAAGAATGAAACTGCAGACAGCTGCCCTGCTCCCATACAGCCCAAATGGGTCAGGTTGATTTAAACAGATTTAAAAGCCATCTGTGCTCATGCAGGTCACTTTGACAGAGAGGGATTTTGGAGAGCTCGGTTGGGCAGCTCCTCCAGCTTGCAGGGGACCAGCAGCCAAACGGAGCCGCAGAGCCCCACGTGGTGCTAGGGGAGGCTGGTGGAGGGTCTGGAGAACAAGTCTTATGAAGTCTTATGAGCTGAGGGAACCGGGCTTGGTAAGCTGGAAAAAAGGAGGCTGAGGGGAGACCTGATCACCCTCTACGACTACCTGAAAGGAGGTTGTAACGAGGTGGATGTCAGTCTCTTCTCCCAACTAACAACCGACAGGACAAGACAAAATGGCCTCAAGTTGTGCTAGTGGAGGTTTAGATTGGATATTAGGAAAAATTTCTTCACGAAAGGGTTGTCAAGCATTGGCACAGGCTGCCCAGGGAAGTGGTTGAGTCACCACCCTGGAGGTATTTAAAAGATGTGTAGATGTGGTGCTTAGGGACATGGTTTAGCAGTGGACTTGGTGGGTTAACGCTTGGACTTGATGATCTTAAAGGTCTTCTATGTCTGCATGGGGGTGGACAAACCCTTCTTTAAAGTGTAATAGGATGCATCCCACCCGAAGCACCAGGTTTTTTCAATCAGGAATCACAGCGATGGTCTTCTCCTGCCCACTCTGATACTCATTGATTAAAAGAGAAACATATATTCTCCTATTATTTCACCTCCTACATGACTGAACAAGGCTGAATAATAAGGAAGCACTACTCACTGTGCTGGATTGCAAATTAGAAAAAAAAGTTCTGAAGACGAAGGCCTTCCAATCCAGTAGAAGCTACATATTCTGACAGGTAAATATAAATGACAAAACTCATTTCACTGGAAAGAGTGCAGATATGTTCTTAATGCAACACACGATCCTACAGTATTGTAACAGAATGACTTAAACTTGAGAAGTAGAGATGGCTTTTACTCTCTCCACATCTTTAACTAAAAACATCTCCTTTTAGCTCATTGAAACTTGAGGGTAGTCCATTGATGCAGCAGACATTTACTTATTTGAACAGTTTTAAGAGTAAGGAAAGAGGCTGCAGAGCAGCCAGCCATGTTACTTCCTTATAAAACTTCTACAAAACACCCAGCTGGAATAAAACTGATTTAAGCAAACTATCCTCTGTGAACTTCAGAAGCTGTTGTCCTTCTTCAACAGCTGGAAAAGCGTCACAAGAGTCTGTGCCACATGAATATCTTCCATAAAGACGATCTCTCAGCCGTGGTTCAGGATGAGGTGACCTTTGCCAGCGTCAGCTTTGGAGATGCTGCTCTTAACCGATTCCTTTCTGTCCTCCGCAGTGCCAGATTTTGCAAGGGTCCGGACCTGGCCGTCCTGTGAGGTGAACGGGATGCTGCTGGTCTGGTACCACTGCGAAGGGGTCGGTCCAACGTGGGCAGTGCCTGAGCAGCACGAGATCGTCACCGGGGAGTGGGTGTTCCGTGGGCAGACAGAGCACTTCGTTGATGCGCACATCCAGGTAGGGAGTCCCATCCCTCCGTGGGACACAGCCACGCTGGGGTCCCCCTCCTAGAGTCCAGTCCAGGGACGTCTCCTCCCAGTTAACCCATTCAGGGACAGCTCCTCCCACTTACCCAGGCCTTACCTGTGCTCAGTGTCATCCCTGCTGCTGGCAGAGCTCAGACCTAGAAATACATCCCTGCGCCAAATACCGAGATTATGGCATATGGTCCCCAAACATGGATCGCGAGCTTCTCAAGTAGAGAACAGATGTTCTGGGTACTTAAAAGGAATCTGTTAATTTGCTTTGACTTATAGCTGATGTAATTTTTAAAAAGACTCTCTAAGAATTGCAGCACTTATTGTCAGGAGGCTTTTCAACTCATCCATCACCGAAATGGAAGCATGCAGTTATTTTGCTGTTAATCTTCATAATCACCATCACACGCTGACAAGTGTGCCACAGAGAACAAAATGGCTGTCGCCTCCATTGCCTCTCAGTGGAAACGCGTCCAGAAACAGGGAACTGTTTTGTGGCACTAAACAGAAGGGACCGTGGCCGTGGTCCTCGGAGGGAGGAGCAGGTGGAGGCTCCTCTGGGAGAATGATGGGGGGCAGTGCCAGTTTTGAAACTGGGTGATCCCTGGAGGTCCTTGGGAGACTTTTAAATGACTGCTGCTTAGCAAAACACTTCTTTTTTTTGTGAAAATCAGTGAGAAAAATGACCCTTAATCTAGAGTGCATTTCTCTCTAAAGGCAGCACCTGCCTGCTGACTAAATCATGACTAAGGTGAGTGGATTAGAAAGGAATGGAGAAGCTATTAGAAGAGACAAAGAGGGTGCATGAGACACAGGAGATTCAGTTCTGGGAATGTGCAGAGGAGTTGTGAGTAGCAGGGAGAATTTGGGAGATGGATGGGATAGTAACGTTTATTTCATGTCTGCTTTTCAGTGCAAGCCACTGTACACAGGTTTATACTGGGGCCAGTCTGTGCTACTTGCCAAGCTGGTGGAAAGCTGATGTATTTGAGTAATAAAGCAGTTAAAACATCTCAAAAAGTGACATATTGTGGGCAGGCTGGTGGGGTTGAAAGGTTTAAAAGTCTGTGAAAACCAGTCTAGGAGCACAAGTACAGAAATGCTTTATTCCTTTCAATTACTACATGGCCAAAGGAAGGACTTCTTTGGAGCCCCAGCTTGTGCAGCTGCAGAAGTTAACATGCATAGCCTTCTTTGAGCTGAAAATGAACTCTGAATTTCCTGAGCTGCATGTTTTAATTGTTCCTATACACTAGTTAAGAACTCGTCCCAAGCCAGTCTGTGCTGAGGCCTCGTCCTCCACGCACTCGGTTGCCTCTTGCTGTGCCATGGACGTGTGAGCATCTCTGCAGGGCTGGGAGCGGTGTGCCCTGGGCTGTGCTGCCGTCACGCTGCTGCTATTGCAGCACTGCTATTAGGTGCAGGCAGCTCGCCCCCACGTCAGCTCTTGCCATCAGCAAATTGTTCCCCAACGGCAGGAAATCCCCGAGAACGCGGCCGACACGGCTCACCTGGCTTTTCTCCATGGCCCAGCTATTCTGGGCGGATCCGATCTGAGATACACAAGGTCCAGGCTGTGGGATTTTATGAAGCACATCTGGAAGGTAAGACCCTAGCTCCCCTCTCAGCCATGAGGAGGTCAAAGTCTTTCAAACCAGGTCCCCTTTCTGCCTCAAAGCATCGGTCCCACCTCGCCCCCTCTGCTGCATGCCCCCATCTTCAGGTCCACCCTCTGAGGGTTTTAGCTGCACTCTGTGCTCATCTCTAGGTGGTCTCCACCATCTCACTGCTACCTCCCCTCAGCCTGTGCTCCCCATCTCGGACTGAGCTGATCCTTCTCCACCCCCCCAGGCCGAGTGGTGGCCGGAGCCGGAGCCCAACGAGCACTGTTCCCGGATGCTGGTTCAACACACCGCAACCATCTTCGGGAAGCGCGTCTCCTTGATGGATTTGACCGTTTCAGCCAGGCAGGTATGTCCCGTACTGGCGACCACCAGCACCCCGAGCTGAAGGGCTTTGTCACCCCAAAGGCCAAGTTCTTGCCCGTCCTGCCCAGTGCAGCCTTCCCTACCAAGCGCATCAGACACATGGGCCAAAACTACACACTGGCATTGGGGCTGCTCCGCAGCTGGGCAGCATGGGGAAGGGAGAGTCTGCAGGGACTGCTGTGCCCACAAAAAAACTTAAAAAAAATTACATAGCTCATACCTGAGCAAACACTGGTGACAATCCCAAGGGACCTTCTCACCACACTGTCATAGTGCTTTACAGTACTGAAGTGTGGGCCTTTTCAGTCCACGGTGAACATGCCTGGAAAAGGTGTAGAGAGCACTCAATATACAGTGAGAAACATTTTGAGGGTGTTGATCTGCATGATGCAAAAAACTCAGGGCTTTTTGGACAACTTTCTGGAAGACACAGAGATTTGTCAATTCACAAACATTTAAGCTAAAGAATTAAACTCATACTAACGTGAAGAGCTCCTTCTGCAATTAAAAGTTTACTCCTTTTCTTTTCTTCTTTACTGGTGTTTTGGGGTTTTTATTTTGGAAACATGTTTATTAACCACACTTGTCTTTCCTCTCTCCACTTTCAAAAAAATCTGAAACATCATGTCTTGTAGCCCAAGATCAGCCCTGGATGAAATAAAAAGTTGACACAAATTGATAAAAAATGAAAGGAAAATAGAAATCATGACGTTAAAAATGAATCAATGGGAACTAGATATTCCACTTTCATTTCTGGTTGTGAGGTTGTTTTGTCTTTTTTTTTTTTAGATGAAATGCTAAGCTTGCCTGATAAAACTAGTAAGTTTGTTCTGGTGCATTTTTGAAGGCATTTGACCTACTCCCATATTATAAATTCAGAACAACAGAAGAACAAATCATGATACAAAACTTTGATAAGGGGTAGATCTCAATGTAATTAGGGAATTATCACAAAGTGAATGCTGATTGTGCTATTTAGCACTGATAACAATGAGCAGGAAAAAAAAAGACATTAAAATAACTTTACAAAGAGTTTGTACCCAACCAAACATTAAAGGAGTAGTAAATAAAGTAACCAAAACCCCCAGCAGTATCTGCACTGCTTCAAAGAAGTGTATCTGTGTGTCTGGCTGCACATCAAACAACACAGAACAAGTACTTCATGTTATGCAAGATAAAAAGCTGAACCTGTTTTCAGCTAAAACCTTAATGTGGCTGTTGTAGCTGCAGAGGAGAAAGTCCGAGCAGGAGTAGGGATGTTGTATTACCTCCATATTGTATTGCTAGTGCTGCTACTGAGCTTGGAGCCCAGGGCCAGTGTCAACAATCCAAAAAGGCTGTTGATGACCTGAAGATAATTCAGAGATGAACAAGATGACCAAGTGAAAGTTTGGAAGCACTTCCTAAAAGATCAGATTTTTAAACTTTCTGGGACAAGTAGAGTACTGTAAGCCCTCATGAATTCCTGTGGGTCCACAGCAAAGCCACTCAGCTCTGACCCATCTGTGAATGTCCCAGGCCAATACAGGCTGCACGGCTCTGCTGGATTCCCGTGGCCTGGAGAGCGTTCACAGCTGGCAAGCAGTCTGTGACTCACAGCTCTGAGGCGTAGCTTGATTTTATGCTGATTACCTGATGAAAAGATAGAGTAAAAGGGGACTTGAGCATGATCTAGGAGACATCTCAAGCAGGTCTCAAGCTGTGGGAGTTGCTGTACCAGCGGGCCGGACCATTGAGGACTTTTCCCTGAGGGTTCTCTGTTGCTCTGCAGGTGGGGCCAGGTCTGGTTTTCCTGATCTTTGAACACGCTTTCTTGGGTCATGGGATCATTTTCCAGACGGTGACTCCTGTGGAGCCTCTCCTGCAGAATGTTGTTCACAAAATCTACTACCAGAAGAACATACCAGCTATAATCCCCAAGTTCATCCTGAGAGCAGAGTGCATACAGGTAACGCCTCTGAAGAAGAGCAGCCAAAGGTCATTCCTTGGAGCTTGGTGGCTTGGAGATGTGAGAAGGGTGAGCAGTTGCCCACATAGGCTCAGATATATGTAGAAGCAAAGCATTCATGAGCAACATGATTTCAGTGCTTGGTGTGATCTTGCATTTTTAGTAGCCCAAAGAACTAGACTGGAGGCTTAGTAAAGAGGGTCCCTGCAGTGGGTGATGTGTTGAGGGTGTCAGAGAGGTGCTATCCCTCTCCTGTAGATGAGGAACTGGAGCACAACAATTAGGGAAGCTCTCATAAGCTGAAAGAAGTCTTTGAAGGAAGTAATAACTGCATCCTGATTTCCAGCATCCCCGGCAGGTGCTTTAAGATCACTCTATCTCCTTTGGTGAGAACTGTGCCAAGAAATCATCCTGTTAAATTGTCATGAGATTTGGCAACTCTCGTCACTCCTGACAGAGGGTTTCCAGGTCCTGCAGGGATTCATGGGAGTGGTGAAAGGTCCCTTTGGAGGTCTCCAGTTCAGTATCCCAGACGGGGCAAGACTATTACCAAGTTCAGGTCAGGCATGGTCTTGAAGGCCTTTGGAGAATCTCCCCATATCCTGGGCTGCATCAAGACAAGTGTGGCCAGCAGGTCAAGGGAGGTGATTCTCCCCCTCTATTCCGCTCTCATGAGACCCCCTTCTCCAGCTCGGGGGCCCCCAACAGCAGAAGGACCCGGAGCTGCTCGAGCGGGGCCAGAGGAGGCCACGGAGATGCTGGGGGGGCTGGAGCAGCTCCCCTGGGGGGCCGGGCTGAGAGAGTTGGGGGGGTTCAGCCTGGAGAAGAGAAGGGTCTGGGGGGACCCTGAGAGCGGCCTCCCAGGGCTTAAAGGGGGGACAGGAGAGGGAGGGAGGGACTCTGGATCAGGGGGTGTGGGGATAGGATGGGGGGTGATGGCTTTAAACTGAAAGAGGGGAGATTTTGATTATATATAGGGAAGAAATTATTTACTGTGAGGGTGGCGAGACACTGGAACAGATTGCCCAGCAAAGCTGTGTCTTCCCCCTCCCTGGAAGGGTTCAAGGCCGGGTTGGACGGGGCTGGGAGCCCCCTGGGCTGGGGGAAGGGAGCCCTGCCCGGGGCAGGGGGGTTGGAACTGGATGACTTTTAATGTCCCTTCCAACCCAAACCATTCTATAAGTCTATGATTCTATGATCTCTCTAGCTCCTTGGGCGACCCATTCCATTATCGCTCTACCCATATTGCTAATTTTTATTTTTAATGTCCATTTTGAACTTTTCAACCTGCAATCTGTGGTTGTTACTCCTCATTCTACCAGCTGGCACTACCAGGAAAAGTCTGACCATCATCCCTGTAACTCCCTTTCAAGAAGTCAGAAGTGTTCATGCCATTCCCTTCTGTCAGGAGTTAAAGCTTGGAAAGCATTTGGTCTGACCAGAGAGGGTTTCACTGGCACTACAGTAAAAATTGTCAAAGGATGATTTTTCAGATGCCAAAAACCTATCCCAAATCAAACTTAGCTGTGCTAGCTTGTATTGTATAAATGCTGGCTTAATATTTTGCATCTTACTAATGTGAATGAGCAGCATTCATTTCTGCAAAGACTTCTTCACAATAGAAAACTCCATAACCTTTCAGTGTGTATGTCCGAGTAGAGTTTAAGATGCAGCTGCTTAATTTATAAAGCCCTAGCTGGCTGGAGCTACCCAACAAATCAAAAATCTCAGGTGGAGCAGCTCCTACCTACACAACATCATTTCTTTTCTAGTATCTCCTATAGCAGGGGCAGTCTAAGATGAAAGTAGCTTGTTTGGAATAAACATCTGCTAACTGCAAACAGAAGTTTAGCTTTACAAGTTACAAATAGCACAAGCAGTTCCACACCGGCCATTTGGGAGAAATGCTAACAAATAAACCTGGAGTGCAGGTAGCACACACAAAACTGCTGGTTCAGCTCCCCCACCTGAATGAGACCATCCTTCTCCCACCAGTTTGAGCGTGATATAACCATCTGGAATAACAAACAGTACCTGCCCAAGCCGCTGCTGGTCAGAGAGGACTCCAGCATCCAGAAGCACCGGCGCTGGTACGCCCAGTTCTACAGCGAAAAAAGCACAAGAGTCCCAGTGCAGAAGGAGGGCCTGGACTGGTGAGGACCATGCTGCGGGCTGCAGAAGCTGGCCAGAGGCTCTCAGGTGGCTCCTGCCCACCCTGGCTGGTGGGCAGTGGTGCTGGGCAGGCATGATCGATGTAATAAATATTGGAGCTGGCACAGGGAGCAGAGCCTGAGCCCTGGTGATCCTCTTTTACCTTCTATGCTCAGGGCATCAAAGCTCAAAGGGTGTAACATGCTTGCTCGTGTACCTGTGCTGCAATGTATGAGCTGAGCGTGAATTTAAGATTGCCAGAACTGCCTTTAAAGTGCCCTTGTCTCTTGCTGCTGCTCTCATTTTGAGTAGTTATATGGAAAGCTTTTCATGTGGTCTTCTATTGCCTGAAGTGTCCTTTCCCAGCCAGGCCCGCTGTTGCTTCTACACCATCTCCTTGGCTGGGGCAGGCTTCAGCTCTCCAGGGGAGACTTGGCTGATGTCTGCATGGCATCAGAGGTGTGATTGCAAAGCCCACAGACATATGCTGTCTTCCTTCTCCCTGGCAGCAGGCAGGGCAGCATGGGGTTTAGCTGCCCACCACGTCCTTACCCTAACTGTGGGCATCCTGGACCTTAGTGAGGGCTTGCATGAGTCAATTCCTTACGGAGCTATTGCACCCAGTTGGGAAGAAGAGGAACTACCCTGGTGACCAAATCACTTTGACAACAACTCTGCAGGTCAGGGATGTGAATAAGATCCTGCTTTTGTAGCCCCCAGTTTCCAGCAATACACTGGGTACATGGTTGGCTGTGAAAATTTGTCTCATGGCAAGACCATAGGTTATCACTTAGAGAAATGAAGCTGACACATGGAGACTAGGCTGCAAATTTGGCAAAAACTGGTCTAGGTTCTCCTGGGCTTTGTGCCTACATTCTCTATATTAAAGGACTAAATCCCGCCTTGCTGCATACCCTAAAGAAACCTGTAATCTCCATAGGCAGAGCCTGCCTTGTATAGTTAGCAGGACTCTGGCAGTTACTCCATGCCAAGAGTCAGCAAGAGCAAATGCTCAAATTTAGGAGCTTTCCAAGAAGGCTGGTAGCTGCCATTCTCAGGTGCTCTGGCCTTGTCTCTGTCTTGCGAATTCTGCGCTTTGCTGAGGCTTCTGGTTCCTCCTTCACCATTAACCCAGAGCAGGACCAGGAGCAGGAACATGCCATTGCAGCCCTCTGCCTGTGCAGTCCTTCTCTCACCCTGGCAGCACCCCAGATAACCATGTGCAAGCTCTGCCTTCACCATTCACATCTGGCTATTGCACTGTCAATATTTCACTATTAAATTTTTTTTTTTTTTTAACTGATCTCGCGTCCGTGGTTTGTTGTTCTTCACTGTTTTGTGGGGTGTTCTTGCATGGGAGAAGTGATGTTGCAGCTGGCCCATGCTGTCCTACCTCAGGGGCCACAGGGAACCTCCAGCAAGGAACTTAAGGAGCTAACAGAAGCTTGGACAAGGAGCATTGCCCAACTCAACAGCCTGAGCCTCTCAGGGACCTGAGATTAGTACGTCTTAGTGGCCCTGTCCAGTGTCCCCTGGGGTGTTCATCCACTCCCTGCCCATGGCCCAGGAGCCCCATTTCAGTTCAGCTCTGGGCCTCCAGTCCCTGTCCTGAGCTGTGCTGTAGGAAGTCTTCAGCTCAGCCGCAGAGGTGCCCATGCCTGGTTGACCTGGACTGTGACCAACAACCTGACGTCCCAGCTCGACCCCTGCCCTGTTCCATCACCTGCCCAGTGACTGCTGGGCTGCATCCGCCCCCGGTTCCCTCACCAGATCCAAACTCTGAGCTGCAGATGACTTTCCAGCTTGACCTCAGACCTGCTTTATCGCCATGAGCTTGATGACTCTTGGCTGAGCCTGGCTGTGACCTCTGGGTTTGCCCTGTCCATCCCACTCGGGAGCGTGGGCACCCCCCTCAGCTCCCAGCACCCCATTGCTTAGGGAGCAGCTGCCCTCACGGTGATGGACGATAGAAAAGCAGAGAGGCAGGAATTGCAACTACTAGGACAGAGACGTTACAATATCTGGTGTGGCTTAAGATGTACCGTTTGCCCACACGTCCCGGGGGCTCATGGCCACCACCCACACACAGACACACCGACGGGCAAGCACAGAGATCTTGCACCACACCTGGGCTGGTGCTCCCCCGCCGTGTTCCCATCTACAGGACCTTGGGATGAACAAAGCTCCAAGGAAGGTAAAGTGTTGAAGATTAGAGATGGTGAGTTAAATTAGGTTTGCTAGATTCATCAGTCCTTCTGAAATCAGAAGAATCTATGGCAAACCTCCAGCAGAGCCCGAATTCTGAGCCACCATTCCCTTTATTACTAGGGCTAAAGTAGTTGTGTCCTGTTAAGGCAGAAATTAGAAAATTGGAAAATAAAACAGGATTAGCTTAAGCCTTTTATGTTTCCATTTGCTATCTTATTTATCCTTTTAAATGGGTCAAGCAAAAAGGACAATTTAGTGGTGGAAGACACTGGCACGCCAAGGAGCGCTGTCCTCCTGTCTTCTATGCCTTTTGGCTATGCAATATCCACTTTACATATTTAATTTTCAAACAAATGCTATCTCCTATCTGGTTAGGATGTGAGGGCATCTAATCTTATTGTTTACTGAAATCACTTTTACATCAAATCTATTGCAAAGCTACAGCCATTCTTACTATTGTATTGTGATAGTTGTATTTATTATTGTGGCTTATCTTCACACTTGATCGTTAGTCAAGAGAGTTTATCCAATTGCTAGACTTACCGTCATTCCATGTCATTGAGTTTTTTCCCAACTAACAAATTCACTCCAGGTTTCCTAATTCTCAAGCAGAGTTATTTTCGTTTGTTTATTTTTCTTTTTTTTTTTGAGGGGGGGTGAGGGGCAAGATTAGAAAACCTCAAAGGATATCAAAACAGGTCAAAGAAAAGAATACATGAAGAATGACAACGTACCTTGGATTTTCCAGCAGTAGTCCCGGTCTCCTCCTCTGAGCCCTGCTCTACGTACTTGTTCCACACGGGATAACTCCCCGGTCGTTCCTGGCTTGTTTGGAGGTGGGTCTTGTGAGCTCCAGGCGGCAGCGGCTGCTGCGCTCCTGCATGCAAAACCGCCGGTGACCCCGCTCACCAGTGCACCTTTGGGACCCTGTGGGACACTTCGATGCACGTCAGGGCTGACATAGCCTCTAAGCAAAGATTTCTGTGCCCTCATCATTATCAAGAACTACCAAGGACCTTATCTTGTGGGAAAGAGTGAGCCTGCTCAGGGCCTGAATGCCTCTTCTCCTGGGGTGGAAGCAAGCTGGCAGTGGATCTGCTGATGCAAGTGAAAATCTCTGACCATGCTGGACAGAAAGACGGGACGTGTGAATTAGGACGATCTTGCCCAGCATCAGCCTGCACTGCCTTAGCAGCACGAAGGCCAGCTGAGCTGGATCTGTCCTGGTGGTGTGAACCCAAGCCCCGCAGCAGCACCCCCCGAACCACCCCCGCAGCTGGCCAAGCAGACCCCGTTCACCTTCTGCTACGTACCGGCGCCGCACTGGGGAGAGGGGCAGGCTCACTGCACTGGCAGCCAAGCGCGAGACAGAAGATGCTCTGCAAAATGCTTTGGGGAGCTCTGGGTGCACGGGGGATGCCGGGAGAAGCCCACCGTAGAGTTTGACGGCCGAGGAGTTCCATCACAGAGACTGCTGCTGAGATTTAGGTCACTTTCATGGACGTTCTCCCTCTTCACAAGACATCTGGCACTGGTGATGTCCCATTCATGTGCTCAAAAAATACAAACCCCCAGACACTTGTTTTTTTTCCTAAAGGTTGTTTTATTGTAAAACCATAAATACAACACTGACATGAAAATCCTCAAGCAACAGATGCTTTCTTACAGTTACAGTTTGTCTTCTGCCTTGGCATCAACTCTGAAAAGAATGTTGCAGAAACATGTCTCTAAGGTATCTCTGAATAACCAAGCTCTGGCCTGGAGCGCTCAGCTCGTTTGGAAGCTAAGTGGAACTATTCCTCCTCTCTTGTGGAATATTTCCATTCAGACAGCAACAGACTTGTAAAAACAGCAACATTTAAACACCTTGATTTTTTTTTTTTTCTTTAATAATCCTTTTCATTTGACGTCAGTCTAAGTTTCAAACAGCACTGAATTTATTTAGCTGTAAAAAAACAAAACAAAACAAAACAAAATCCTAAAAAGAAAAAAATCAGAAGAACTTGAGTTGGCCTCAAGCGTTCATATATCACAATGAAAATCAGCAACTCAACCCCGTGCAATATTGCTCTCTATTGAGTCATTCGATCCACACCAACAATACATGAGACTTCAAACAGGTTTTGTTTTGTTTATTAACACAGCAAGTGTGACATTAGATAACCTTTTAAATACAGTACATGGTACAGCGCGGGGCCAGCTGCCCGCACTTTTCCCCATTATGAAGACAAAGCCAGCGGTGGCGGTTTATAAAAATATTGTGTTGCTACAAAAGTATAAATTAATGCTACCGGTATTAAGAAATATTAAACACATAAAACTTATAAGGATTAAGAAAAATATTCATTAATACCTGTAGAAAACTCTGGCCTAAAAAAGATATTTTTTGTATATTTTTTGTATATTTTTTTTGTATTTTTTAAGATGACATGAGATTCTTGCACTCGCAGGTAGAGACACACGCAGGTGCATCTGTGGTATTGCCTAGAACATCTGCATCTACAGAAAGGAAGGAAATGCACACAAGTTACTGAGGGGGCGGAGGGTGAGGAGGGAAAGGAGAACATTGTTTGCCTGATGAAACAACAAGAATTCAGCTCCCAGCAGGGGGTTTCAGAAAACGGACATACGAACGAGGAACAGCTTCTCTTTTCAGACTGGCTGCAAACAAGGATTTCCTGATGGTTTGGTCTGTCGGCATGACACTTTCTAGCTACGGCGTGGACCACAATTCTCACGGTCTGGATGATGTGCGTTCCTCCTGGACTTACAGCCTTGGCTAGTCACCTGTCACAAATTTTTCAGTTCATCCGTTACCAGTTTTCCTTTTAAATAATTGAAAAGAAAAAAAAAAAAAAATTAAAGTCCCAGTAAGTTTAAAGGGACCATGGAAAACAGCTCCTAAGACTGTTGCTCCTTCCAGAACACATGCCTCCTTCCTTGAGTGGAAAGGTCCTTCTCCATAGATAGCAAGAAAGAAAAAAATCCCTCCTCCCACCCCCCATCCCACTGGAAAGAAAAAAACAACCATCCTATCCACACACATTGCAGAGACCACCACAAGAACTCCCAGAAGACTGAAAACAAGCTTTCAAGGCTGATGAGGCTGGAAGTGTCTTTTTAAGGAACTTTGGTTGTAAAATGAAAGGGTTTGACATGCCTGTACTCGACAACTCCACTGTAAAATACTCCTATTGTTAAGGCTGCTCTGCTCACCCGGGTACCAAGACATGCTGACCACTGTCAGTGACACTAGAACAATGGGAAGGAAGAAAATCCTTTCAGTCAGTGGTTGACGTTGTGCATCAATGAGCCATTTACATGACTCATTTCAGAAGCTATTCTAAAAAATTCAAACTCAGCTGCCTACAGATCATTAAACCCTAAAGGGTCTACTGGATACACCGTTGTCTAATGTGAGCAAAACTCTTCTGTCAAGGTATAAAACAAAGGACTCTAACAGGAGTAGTAAAAAACCCAACTAACCAGCCAAAGAAAAACCAAAATTAAACAGAAGTCCCCCAGACATTCAATATATAAAATTAAATTTCAGGGCAATACACTCTCATTGGTTTACCATTTCTGGCCTAGCATAAGCAAACTATCCCACAGTACTAACGAGGCATTCAACTCGGAGCTGTGCTTGGGTTTACCTCTCTGTAGTTTATTGTTTTGTTCAGTGACATTTCCAGAAGCCCCAGGAAGATGATAACCCGTGGCACGGGGACAGGCCCCACGCATTGTGAAAAGGGAGTTCTTATTGCTATGGAGCGACATCTTCAGAAATATCTGACACAGGACACTGCGACTCAGCCGATGTTTCTGGGCATTCCCAGCGGATCCTACAGATTCACGTAGCACAGAAAATGCACAGCAGAAGCAGCAAAACATTTAATACTCTCTCCCACCCTGATTCTTTCACCTTGGCAGTGTAAGGGTTGACAGGACATTTGCTCCTCAACTGGTGTTTTCTCCTCTGCCCCTCCCGCCAGCTGACCTCCCTTCTGTATGAAACCTGGTTAATGTCTATCCTGGAGAGCTGGGAAGGGTTCGGTGCCAGCGGTGGGTGAGCAGAAGGATGCGGAGGAGGATGCTCTGTGAATCCTCCTGGACCTATCAGGCAGGACTGGCATTTCTTACCTCTACATCCAGTCTCTTTTCTCTCAGCAGTGTTCAAAGCAGCCTTGTGCTTTATGGAGTGTGCTCCACGTAGCTGTACAGCCTTTTTTCAAAAGATACGGCTCAAAAACCATTCCCGTAACAGACTCCTCCTAGCTAAACACATTTCTCCTGCCTGAAAAGGTTTCCCAGAGTTTGCCTTTAGTGTCTTTTTGTCCATTTTCATTCCATTACTCCTAATTATTCCATAGGGAACAACCTGTCCCTTCCTGCATGTGCTCGCTCTGAATGCTCACAGGAGCTCCTCTCCACCTCCCTTAGCCAGAGAGATGCAATTAGAGATCTGATTCTTTCCTCAGTAGAAAGCAGCACTCCCAGCCTTTGAATAACTTGTTGGCTGCTTTTTTTATCAGTAACCTGGCACTGTCTAGCAATGCACGCAGCATTCCCCACGTAGCACAATGTCTCAGTCACCCTGCTCCTGTGCGACGCTATGTCCCGGCTGGCCTGCTGTGGGATCCAGAAAGTGGAAATGGTCCCTCAGACTGGGTAAGGCTGAGTGGACTCATCCACCAATATAAACTTACGTGGGAATTTCTTCTCGTGTTAAACCTTCTCTGCTATTCCAAGCAGTTGGAGAAAAACAAACCAGCCAACCTGAGACATCTCACTAAATACTCTATTAACTCAGATACCACAGTTTAGAGCTCAAGCAGTTTTCAGATGTGTCTCCCCTCCATTTTCAGTAATTCCCGATTTTTGAGAGTATCTGCCATAACTTCATTCGCAAAATTCACATAAGGATCATGACTCCCTGAGCTGCTTCTGGACGTATTCTCTGATCAGCAGGGGAGAACACCCAGCAAGCGCAGTTAAACCAGTGCAGGTGGTTCACGTGGATGCTTAAACCAATTTATCTCAAAGTTAAACTGGTTTAACCAGTAAATAACAGACAACTGAATTAGACAAAACCTGAGCCCACAGTCAGCTTTCACAGAAAGTTTTCCAGATTGCACTAGTTCAAATACAACCAAATCAAGTCTTCTTAAAACAGACAGACAGCTTTGACAAAAATGAAAGTTTACATCCATCTGAAACCAACCCAGGTGGAAGACACCAAGCCCATCTTGAAAGCCAGAACACAACTACTGTCTGCTGCCAGAGACACGGGGAGAAGAGACAGACACAGGAGACAAACAGGGCTCCATGTTCTCCATAGACCCTCTGGCTGCTGCGCTCACACATAACCAATCTTCTGCTTCGAAGAGCTCTGTCTTTGTGTACCACCTTCTCAGTTTTCTAGTAAAAAGGGTTTTCAGACACGATTGGAAGGCCCTTCATTCTTTACAGTTTATCTTCTGTTGGTGCTTGCTCCCCACCCAAAGATCATAACCCCTCCCAAAGCAAACCGTGAAGTCAGAAGTCTGCAAAGTCAGGCACAGAGTAAGCAGCAGAAACAAATGAATGCCTGGAGAACACATACACCATTTTTGTATCCCAACACATTTCTCAAGGGCAAGTAATGGAAACAAACAAGCAGAAGGCAAATTCCCAACGTGACCTACCAAAGGATGATCCCAATTCTGAGGCCTTCTCCTCCCAGCTCAAAGGGAGCAGAACCTCATGACAGCTCTGCCCAAATTAAGCAACCCTCTCCTCTCCAGTCTCCCACCACAGGATGGGCAATGCTCCTTACCACACAAGTGCTGCTCCATACCATTGAGCCATCACAGAATAGAATCACAGAATAATTTGGGTTGGAGTAACCTGGCAAATTAAGAGCTCCCAAAATTCAGACCTTGGTAAAGAATCTATCCTCCCTAAATTGCAAAACCAAGTCTTGAAGAGGGAAGGAGAAATAGGAACGAAAAAGCTTGGCATGTACGGTAAATACATGTGCTCCAGATGTGCTTCTCTCCTTTTAATGAAGCATGTCAGACAGAAGTCAGCCTGTGAACAGACACAGCAGGAAAAGCTCCTCTGAGCTGAACACCCTGTAAACACATTAAGACTCAAGAAAAGCTGTGGCTTCTTCCACTGAGTCGCTGGAGAAGGGAGCTGGCCAACCAGCTCCTCTTCTCACTGACTTTCCAGATTGCTCCATTCTAGGGCTTAAGGTTTTATCTTGCTTTTTCAGCTGCTAAGTTGAGTTTTTGTCTGGTAGATGAGGTTCTCCCAGTCCTATCGCTGCATGTCTGCTTAACATCCATCATTAGTGCAACTATAGCCAAAGTTGCCTTGGAGAGGACAGTTACTCGGATGGGGGAGAGGACCAGTCTATGCCTCTCTTTGGTCGTCACAGCAAGAAAGTTCCAGATCTGATGCCAAAACCACACTGTAAAAAGGGGAACGGCAGATGGGCCATGAGGTAAGGGTGGCTGTGGCCTTTCTGTCTGTCTGCCCTGGCTGTTCAGCCATGGTCCAGCTCACTGCTGTGCACAGCCTTGCACACATGACTGCAATTTTACCTCAATTCCAGGGCTTTAAACCTGTGCTAACTTCACTTTGTCCACTTCCCCACCCTTAATGCCTTGCAGACAGACAACACAATGAGGTCCAGTTGGCAAATCCCACAGAAGATATCAGCCTGTCCCTTAGCAAAGCGTTGGGTTTTGGAGCTTTTTTTTCAAAGAAATGCAAGGGTTTTGCACATTCACCTGAGCACTGAAGAGTCTGCGAGTGGCTGTGAGGGTCTCAGGTGAACTAAGTAAAAAGGTGTAATGTGCCATTAGGAGAAAGAATACAAATCCTGTCGCCAGTTCTGCCCATCAGCTGAGCTGCATGGTACACACTGTAGCCTCAAAAGCTAATTTTGCTTTGGATTCAACCTCCAGCCAAGTTTTCTTGCTGCAGGATACCTTGTGCTTTTCAGTGGGAACAGCAGCACAGCACAAATGCTTTGTAATTGGCATACATGTAACTTAGTTTTTTTGTTTGTAGTTTGAGACTTACTGTTTGTTACAGGTTTCTCCCGTATTGCAAGTGCAAACAGATGTGTTACCACAGACCCGGTGGCTGGCTGGGCAGGCAGGATTTGTATGGGAGAAAATAAAACCAGCAAGAAGAAAAGTTGGCCCTACAACCAACACCTCCATTTGCAAAAGCCACTGCCAGAGAAGTAAGATGTCCAAGTGCCTTTGCCTTGGCAGCTCATCTTCAAGTGCTGCTACTCCTGCAGTTGTCAGTGGGGCTGCAGACTGTGTCTTTTATGGCATCTATATGCAAAACTTACATTTAAGAGACAACTAGTTTTGTCCTGATGCCAGTAACAGTGCTGAGAGGCCAACCCAAATGCTAGACTCAAGCTGATAGTAGGTCCTATTTCCAGACTGAAAAGGGCAAGACAGCTGGGTGCAAAGAACTATCCTCAGTGACCTTGACCTAGGGAAGGTCTCTAGCATGCAAACTGTTCCCCGTGTCTGAGCCCCATGGCATGGAAGCTGTCAGTTAGTGCCTGTCAGGTTCAAGACATCTGCACACAAAGCCTGAGAGACTGGGTTTGCCATTTCTCATGTCTTGGGACTTGCAACTTCTATTACAACCAGAGCTGGGCAGGTGGGATCTTGTTCTTGTTGAACACATCTGTTCAACAGCAGCATTTCAAAAAGGGCCCCCAGTCTCACCACTGCACTGTCGGCAGCCAGAAAACACCCTTGCACTGTTGGAGGGCTTCAGCCTGCCTGCTCAGAGCTGAGCAAGTCCATCCTCCTGAACCTCTGCTGCTGCTCTGCTGCCACTGTGACTGCTGCTCCAGAGCACGCTACTAGGAACAGGAAAGATCACTTCAGAAATAAGAATTTGCTTCAATTTGCTTCTGGGATACAAGTCCCAGTGATGAAAAATTAACAGTTTGGCACCAGAAACTGGGAATTGTCCAAGAGGCACCAAGCCTGACAGCCTGCAGAGGTCCCATCCAGCAGCCCACAACCTGTGCCTATGGGCACTGGACAGAGCAGAGCACTGGCCTCAGTGGACAGCAGAGTGACTGAGATGTTTTTATGTTATGATGATCTCTAATTGCATTTGGGGTGAGCCAGTAAGTGTGAACGTGTAAGAGCCTGTGGCCTTCCTAGCCAGAACGATTCAGCAACATAGTAAGTAGTGTAATGCACTATAGGTATTAAAAAGACATTCGTGCTACTAGAGGAAACCATTCCAAATAAAATGGGAAGATATTCTTTGCACTCAATCAGGAACACTTACATTCAGAAGGATCTCTGAGCCCATGCACTTCTCTAAGCTTCCTTCAAACCCCAATTTGACAAAACTGATGACCTTTGTTCCCCTGAAAAATCATACACCTTGGTTTGTCCTTGGCCTTGTGAAGGGTGTTCTGAGTGCGTGTACTGAGAAACTTTTTTTTTACAAAAAGTTTAAGTACAAGGGTTCTCAGTGGCAGCTAGCAGCTTGCTGGTGGCCCACAGGCACCTGCGCTGTCACCACTTGCTTGCTTTTCCTGGTTTCTAGCTTTTCCATATAAGCAACTGTTGTGATTCCCATAAGGATATTATCTAATCACAAACGGGCTGCTCTAGAACAAGTTTGAGAACCCCTGAGGTACAGAATTTACAGAGAAGCTAATTAGCACTGGGAATTCAGAAAAGAAGTTACGTGTAAAAAAATAAATTCAAGAAATGTAACAATTACAGACATTTTCTGCCATGAGCCATTTCTCTTAGTTTTAAATCAAACTTATAATCACTAGCTAACATGTTAAATTCAAAACCAGGAATGGAGACAGAAGACTAACTTCTGTTTTTTGGAGATAACGAATGTGAAAAAGTTAAAAATAAAATTTAAAAAACCCTTAAAGTCTCCCTTCCTGATTTCTAAAGATACTGGTGTTCATAAAACACAGCTGCCCTGATAACATGCACCGTATGTCAAGAAGGCTGCAGACAAATGCCCTCAAGGTGTACAGTTATTCAAAGGAGCAAAGTCCAGTGCAGAACTGGTCTGTTCAATGTAGTCTGATTATCCATGGCAAGATGGCCCAGGGGACAAGAGGAGAGGTGGGGTGGAGGAGAAACAAAAGAAACTTCAAGTCACTTTAGATCTCAGCTGCCTGAAGACTTTAGAACATCAGCCTCCCATTCGTCTGCCCACTTGAAAACATTAGAAAGTCTGTCAAGTCCACACACTATCTATGGAAAGGAGCACGTTCCTGGCAGAGGGCTGTCTCTCTCACGTGCTCAGCTTTCCTTTCAAACTTAATTTTATATATATTTATATTTTTATATATATATAAAAAAGCACTTGGTTTCCAGGGGCATTCATAATGAGGTCCACAGTGTTTAGAACTTAAAATTCTTTTTCTTTGTTTGGAACAGTGTTTTAAAGTTTTGTTTTAATTAAAAGACAGTCTTAAAGCATGTTGGACTTCAAAAACATGAGTTTGTTCATGTCTTCTGGACTGAGTAGCCGTCTCCTTTTGATTAAGAGAGCCTGCTCACACATATTTACACATTCGCTTCTGGCACCAACAGCAGGCACTGCTAAGAGCCAAAAGGCTAGCTTGGCTAGTTTTGTATGCTTTTGGGTAACACACGACCAGTACTGAAACAGGTCAGGGGTGGCCTGGAAAAGAGGTTCTTGCAAATAATCATAGACTTCATTTTTCCCGAACCAATCTTCTTCCTGAGCTGCTGTGGCTTCCCCTGCTGCCCGAGGCTTCTTGGTTGAAGGTTCAAATTCTGTTTCTTCTGCCCAGGACTCTTTCACCTCATTGATCAACTCACAGACCTTGCCAATGATCTCTTCGTGCTGGTATGGTGGGACAGGCCGCAGCTTCTGCTGAGGGTCTAAGATCATGGCTACCTTGTGTGCCGAATGAACTTTGAAGTTCTCCTTCAGCGCCTCCAAGAAGAGGTGGCAGAGTTTGCTGACTACGCCAGCATCATTAGCTTTGGAAGTGAACAGTTTCTCCAGTTTGACGTAGGTGGGCAGTACCAGCTGCAAGGTGGGCCGGCTCTCATTGCTCAACTCAATCACCGCCTGTTTCACCGGAGCCAAAATAGCTGCCAGGTTGCTGAGCAGGTGTTTGTTCAGGTTTTGGATGAGGTTCATCTTCTTGGCCCTGCTGTAGAACTCGCAGATCTGCTCGTAGCGCTCGTGGACGAGCAGGAGGGAGTCGGTGACCGAGTTCCAGCAGGGCGGGGGAGAGGTCTCTTCCAGGGAGCCAAAGGTCTCCTTCGAGAGGCCTGTGGATCCTGCCAGATCTTCACAGACATTCAGGAGCTCGATCACTTCGTGCATATTGCGAGCCTGTAGTGTTCGCTTGTTCAGCACACTCTGCACTACTGAGTTCAAGGCACAGGCCGAACAACGCAAGCACATGCCTGCCTTGGAGAACGCAGAGGAATTGACTTTGCAGTCTGTGACATACACCGTCCTGATCTCTGACATCACAAACTCTGAGAGCACGTTCTGTACCCAGTGGTGGATAAAATCACCATTATCTCGAATGTCTACGCCCTTAATTCCCAGGACGTAACTCTTGATGTGGTTGCCTTCCACCTGGTAAGCTGTCAGGATGTAGCAAGAATCGGGGCCGATGCTCTGTGAGTGGCAAGTGACACCGATGCCAAGGCACGCGTTGCTGCCCAGGGCACAGGTGACTTTCACTTTCACTTGGTTGTACATCCGAGGCAAATGCTTCAGAGCCAGTGTGTTGAAGTTGCCCAGGATTTCGGTGACAGAGAAGGCACCATAGCGAGCTCCACTATCCACCAGTGTCTGTGCTAGCTTGATGAATTCCTTCCCGCTCACCACGCTCAGAGCCCCAAGGTCAGTGCACATCACCCTCAGGAGCCTCTCGGCAATGTTCTGCCGCTCCTTCTCTGGGATCGCGCTGTTCCCTACTGAACCGCTCGCGGATGCTGCAGTGAAATACAAGGAGGGAGAGAAAGCACCACATGAGCACCCCTCCTCTGCAACAGGACAGAGGAGGAAGTCACAGAAAATTCTCAGACAGACCCAAAGAGACGGAACGTGCCCAGATGACATCCCCAACCCTGGGCTTCTTCCCTCAAGGGTTTCTGGACAGAGGAACCTCCAGAGACAGGTCTTGCTCTTGCTCAGAGCAGCAGGGAGCTCACCTGCATGGTCTCCCTGGTGTGGGGACTGAGGCAGCGCACACACTATCTACTCTCAATCCACTGCCTGAACCAGGGACATCTCTGTGGTGTTCACTGAGGAACTGGCCAGGTAATGTATGGGGCTGGTGGTCACAGCTTAGCCCAGCTGGAAAACTGGACATCTTTCCATTTTTATGATTTGAGCCTCTTCTTTGAGGCAGTTATTTTAAGAGGAGTTGCTTCAGTGCAGCATACAACTTCCTCCACCATCTCAAACAGCGCTGAAGCACAAATTTCCATTTCTTCCTCTGAACTCCAGCAACCCTGCTTTTTGTGGCTGATTTCGGGCAACATGAATGTCATTTTTGGCCATACCAGAACACAAAACGGCCTTGGTTTTGTATCACCCTTCCCCTTGGCTGCTCAGCTTGTATGCTTTGGAACTGATTTCCCACAGGGCTGTATTTTCCTGTGGGGAAGCACAAGCTCACAGGATGAGCTGGGGATAAAGCCAGACAGTGACTACCTGCCAGCACAGGGAGTGACAGGTTATGCCTATGTCACACCATGATGACTGGACTCGTTTGTTAACCCCAGGAAGTCTGACCTTGGATCAGAAGCTAACTTCTTCCAGGAGTTCCCAAATGTATCTTCCTTACAAACCTTTCCAACCTCCTCCCCAGGGTTTCCAGTACTTTTTGCATACAAGTGCTCCTGTAATGGGAATGGGTGCTCTGCTCTGCAGGTTAGTACAGGAATTACAGATGAAATCAAGTGCAGTTAGGTAAGGACAATGGCCTTGTGCCATGACCATCACTGCTGCACCCTCTCTGACAGTCACTTGTTCAAAGTGGACAGGTAAGCCTGGGACAGAAGAGCAAATGCTGCTACGTACTATTGTTGGCGTTATTTCTTTGGAGTTGTGGTTTCCACTTTTCTTCAACAACAGCTAGAGGTGATCTGGGCTGGCTAGAGGCAATATTGTTCTCGTTGTCAGCTGTGGGGCAAGAGACACGGAGATGTTAGAAGCACAAGGTAATAATGCTTAAAGCACAAAGAAGGGGAAACAGTACCCATCTGCTTGGCATTTACTTATGGTTCCCTTAACTAAGGTGACACCAATCCACTACATTCCCTGTAGCTTTTAAGCAGTTTTCAGTAAGATGGCACAGTACCACCAGAAACCTTGAAAACTGTCTAGGGACCTGCAACCTATCACCTCCCAAAATGTGGCTGAAATGACAGTGGCTTTTTCTGTGCACCAGTGACATTGATGCTACCAGCACACCTTGAGAAATGTTGCACACCAGAAGGAATAGATGTTCCTCGTGCGATTTGCTTGCTTTTGAAATTAAAGAAGGTGTAACAAATGTTTATGTCTTTTGCCTTACTGCCTCGTTCTGCACTGCAGGTGGCTTCCCTTTTCTTTACTGTTAAGTACTTTGTTTTTCAAGGTCCTTGGTATCTAAGGACCTTATTACAATTGTCATATATGGTTTCCTCCCAAAGTAGAGAGAGGGCCAATCTCCTCTCAGGCTGCTCACTGCTGCCTCAGACTGGGAACAAAAAGAAAAAAAAAAAAAAAAAGAGTTTCTGGAGTGTGACCAAAGACTGTTCCTCCCTATGGATGCAAAGATACCAACTGCCCCAGGGCTCCTTATGTTCACGCTCCCATTTCTGTATATGTAACTGCGCTAAACACTCTGGCTGCCAATATGATGGGATCTTTTAAGGAAATGCAGCTAAGATCAGTAAATTCTGTATCATATCCATGCGTTTTCCTCTCCTGTGCTCCAAGAACTTCTCCCCACCCACCAAAGGAAATTTTCTAGCTCTTAGCATGCTTCACTATGAAACTGTGCTCTGAAATAGGCTGTGAAGCAAAAATAAAGTGTACAATGAGGAGAGGTGGAAGAGGAAGGAGAAAGATGGAGACTGATGACCAGGCTAGACAGAAGGATGGAATTAAAAACAAAAAAGACAAACTAGGTCTTTTACTCATCACAGCTGGACTCATCCCATCTAATTCTGGACATCTCTACTAGACATGCTTCTCTTCAAAGTGGCCCCTTGGGCCTTGTTTTTCACTTGGTGGTGCAAAACAGGCCTAAGAGTGCAATTCATTCACCCAGGAAGAACTAGATGCCTCTTGTAGTATAAGATTCATCATGCTCTGAACTCACCTGGAGTCAGTGACTTCTTCTCCTCTGATTATAAAGGGAGGCCAAGTTGAGCAGCTCAGAGGTGGCAATATCAATAGCCTAGGCACACCAGCATGCAGTGAAATGAATCCTGACCCAGCACTCCAGAGAGCTGAACATGAATTAGAGGAATGCCTTTATAGGGCACATACAGGTGCTTTGTTCTGCAGCCCAGGTTGACGTGGTGCTGGGCAGAGCAGTGGGCTGCCCAGCAGAACAGGAGAGGCCAAAGTTGCTCTCATTCATGTGTGGCAATGACCTGGGAGAGAAGGGAGACCAGCAAGGACCTAGAGACAAGCAATGAAGTGATGAAACTCCAGTGCCCTCGTCCTTAGAAGCAAGTCCTCTCAAATTTGAGCAGCTCTGCATGGTAACTGCTGGGGCATTCACAAACCTTTTTGATGAACAATCACAGACTGCACAGTTTTTATTAGGTCTGGGCACTGCACTGGGCACAGACCAGTGAATCAATACCTAAGAGCAATCCAGGATATGACAGAACCAGGCAGACTCTGGGACTGCCTTGAGGATGGCACATGCCCAGGGAATTCCCTGGTCATAGCTGGTACCTGGGAGCACTGGCACGCTCAGGCCTGCAGACAGAAGTCAGTCTTTGCAGGTGTGGAAGAGATATGAGGAGCAGGAGGTGCTCTAGTGAATGCCAGTGATCAGATATGACACATCACTTTTCCCCAAGCATTTGCCTAGACTAATTGCTCTTGAGCTAATGCCACCAGTGTCCTCAATTCCAAACATCTGTGGGTAGGCAAAGGAAAATGCTGGATGTTGCCTACTAACTTTGTTCATGGCTCAGGCCTTCCTTGTCTTGGTGATGGGTGGGTGGGGGGAGACACTCTCTGTATTTCCTCCCCCTGACTCTTTCTCTATTTCATAATAATAGGGGATTTATTATGTACAAATATCCGCTGGCATTCAATATAGAAATAATGAGATTTGTGCATTTCAGCCTCATCTTCCTTATCAGGCAGTCTGTGAACTACATAGATCATGGTTCTTTAATTTCTCTTCATGCCTTCAATCCTTTAATCCAGGTTCAGCCTAGTCGTCCTTTTATTTTTTTAGCTCTAGACTGTAGGAAGGGAATTATATGGTAGCACTCGACCTGAACAAAGTACTCTAAAGGGAGTCAAAGCTGTATATTGTACAGTGTAATTACAGAACAAATTCCTTTGCCTTGTGTTCTGCTGTTCTATTTCTGCCTTTCAGCCTCCAATTTACATTCTAATTGCTTCTTCTCATTGTGTAGCTGCTTTATGGAGCTATAATCTCCCCTTATTACCTCCTAGCCTCCAGGCTCAGCCCTCTGAATGACTCAAGAGCCAGTATGTTCCTGCTTTTGCTCTTCGAGGTCAGCAGCACGTTCCCTGTATTCGGTCACTTGTGAGAGGGGCTCAGTGGATGCAACACATTTAGTTGGAAGAAATTAGCCCTTTGCGTCAGACATAATGTGCCAAATTGGACTCCTGAACACATTAACTGAGGGAATATTTGACTCATATGGGCTTCTTGTATCTTTGCATCCCCATAATGTAACATTCCCTGAGCCAGGCATATGGACTGGTACAAACTGCTACTATGCCAGTGTCCCCAGTACGTGGATCCTATGTCACCAGTTCTGCTGATTACTGCAAGGTCTCTGCACCCCGAGACTTCAGAGACGTTGTGCCCACGCTGTTTCTTGGATATGGAAATCCCCAAGCCCTGAGAGGCTAAAAGGCAACAAACTGCGACCAGAGTAACTGCAAACCCTGTGCCATCTCCACTGTTGCTCTGCTTAAGCACAATATCCAGATCCGGACACCCACCAAAGCTGTCTGCAGCTTTCACACCTCTTCACTTTGTTTTGCCCTCATCCCACAGTACCAAATACCGCACCGCTTGCCCCCAGCTGCAGAGATCTGGAGGAAAGGCTGCTGTTCCCTCCAGAGGAAGAGGCATGAGCACAGGACTGGCAAGCACCATGCACAGGGATGCCACAGCAGGGGATAGTTGCTTTCACAGAGGACAGCTTCAGTGACGCCTGGAGAAAGCACTTAAAAGAGACATGGACAAGCTTGCTGTCACTGTACCAGCAAGACATTCAGGGGAAGCAGCCAAGCAGAAGACAGTGACTTATAGAGCAGGGAGAGATGAGAAAATACAGAGTTTAAGAGGAGTAATCCTAAGGTGGTGAGAGGGGATTTACGCATTAATATATCTCTGCTGACATTACATGAGTCAGATCACAGATACCTGCTCCCTCCAGCCCTGTTCTGTGGCCAAAGTAACCCAGGTGAACAAGCCCAGAGGCCATAGGTCATTGGTAAAGAAGAGAGAAGAAGAAGCTGCAGACAGCACTAGCTTAAAATTTTCAACAGCTCACACCTCGACAGTGAATTGCCATTCCCCCCTTTGACATCTTAGCCTTGGTCCCTCCTTTGCAGCTCCCCTGCTCAGTGTCACCAAGAACTGTAACTCGAAATGCTGCATTTCAGTACCAGAGACTGGAACAAGGAACTGGATGGTCAGGATGCAGCTTGGAAGCAAGGAGAAATTGCCATTAACAGCAAGAACAGACCCCAACACCATGGACTGATGGCAGCCACTGCCCTGAGCAGACCTTCACTACTCGGTGTAACGTGAAGTCAGACTACTCCACGTTAACGAGCTTATACTCTATCAGAAAATAACATCCACAAAACTCACACCTTCTTTTAACAAGTCACCCTAAATGTCCAGTCATAAGGTTACAAAGATGATAAATAAAGTAGCTCCTGAACAACACACAAAGCCTGCACTAAGATTTGCCAATGAGAACTGAACTGGAACCAAGGAACCACATGGATGAAGAACTCAAGGGACACTACTAAAATCAGAACGAAAACTAAAACACAGAACAAGGTAAGAACTTTGATTAGAATTATTGTTACAGAATGGAAAATATGCTTTTCCTCAAGCCACTTGTGCTTCTGTGCCACTCTACTCAGGGCTTACCTGTAAAGTGAGGGCAAATGCAAGCACTGAACGGATATCTCAACCGAGCAGCATTTTGTCGGAGAACACAGGTCTGTCAAAGGTGAATTAATTTGTAAACCTGTGTTAATTCACATGAATTTTCATTCAAGAGGAAAAATAAAGAAAAAAATTCTGCCAATATAAAAAAAAAAAAATCCTGTTGCTACATTTTTGAATATTCTGAATTCTGTCTTTGAAATAGCTTTGGCTTTGAAATTTTAAAATTGTCTCATGTATTGAGATAGAAAAGAAAAATGTGGCTTAGAAACAAAGTAGTGGAACTACTCCTCAGAATCTTCTTTTGAAGAGAGCTGAGAAGGAAATGATCACAACTGCTGAAATAGCAAATTCTTCTTTGGAGAATACATTTCAAGTCCTTTGCAGAACTCCAGGAGACACAAGCACAGAAGACTTGTGTGGGCAAAGGCTCTGCTGCCCTGCAAGCATTTTTGCTTTGTTTGCTTCAATGAGAACTACCCTTTTTGCAGGAGGGTTTTCATCTGCTGTAAGAGTAACCCATTAATGCTTTCGCAATGAGAATTCCCTAAATACCTTTGGATAAAGGGAATAAGTAGTTTGATGTGCTCTGTGCTAGCCCAGCACGTTTCCTCTCTTCCTAAGGAAAGGAGTAGTATTTATGATATACCGTGAGCCTTGCATTGTTGCAGCCACTGCTATGTGCTCCAGCCTTTGAGTATCTTTTTCACTGCAGGTGAAATTAATGGGGCTTTGGAAACCGTGAGCACAGAAAGCTCTATTGACACACAATGGGGTCAACATCAGGCATCAGCGCAGAATTTAATTCTCCGCTTTAAGCGAGTCGAAGTGCCCAGCTTACCTGCATGGGACTGCATGTGCTCCAGGAGATTGTTATAAAACTGGAACTGGATTCCACAAGCTCCACAGGTGTAAGGCTCTGTTTGGGAGAAATCAGTTCAGAAGAATTATACAGAGTATGCAGGGAAGCAGCACACGTGCATACTTCAGTTTGTACAGTAGCGGGGCAGCGCCTTAGGGCCCGGTCCTTGTCACCTCAGCCCACGTGTGCACGTCACAGCGGCTCCTTAGAACTGAAGCCACAGGGCTCAGGTTGTGATTCAGGAAAGCGTTAGGGCCCGTCACTGCTTCCTGGGCTGGGGTCGGGCATTCCTCCACGTGCTTCACTTTACTGCCACGAGAAGGCCCGGGAGGATGGCAGAGGGACAGCTTGTGCACTAAAGCGAAGCACCTGCTGGTGTGTGTTTGGGGGCATCTCAGTGAAGCTGCACAAAGATTTAAGAGGCTACACACTGACTGGGGTTTACTAGCCCATGCCTGCTGCAGGCTGTTTTAAGCATATCTTTGTTCTTTTTAAGCCTGAAAGCAAAGCGTGGTGAATTCATTTTACATCCAGTCTCTGCTGCCTTTCATGAGTAAGACAAGGAGCACTGGGTTGTGAAAAATCCTGTTGCTCAGAAGCTGGGGCATGGAGAAGTGCCATGGGGGAACTCAGCTTGTTTTTTTTGTGGCTGTCAACAAGTGCAGCGAGACTGGGGAATGGTGAGTGCCACTGGGCTCGGTGGCAGCAAGTCGTTGGGGTAAGCAGAGGTGGAGGGGAAGAAGCACAGAAATCAGAGCTGTGCCAGAAGTCTGAGAGCAGAGCAGGAGAGCCATGTTGCCAGAATAATATGGATGAGCTGGAGTCAGGAAAGAGCTGGGTGCAGAGCTCCCTCATGAGCTGAAAGATACGTTTAGTTCTGTTCTAACAAGTGTGTTGAAAGTGCATTTTTTCCACTGAATTAACCTAATAGTAAATGTTTGCAGTTGCTCGTTTAAACAGTATTAGTTGAGTGCGTTAGTTGACAGATGTAGAATCAAACTACAGTGGCTGAAATATGTTAACGTTGCAGTTTGCCTCTATACCTCCACACATACGAGCACACTGCTGCCATTTATGCTGTGGCATTTTGTTTTGTAACAACAGAATGGACAAATGCAAGCATCTGGCATATAAACAGCTTTACATACAAGTGCCTGGCACGCACACAGAGCAAGGTCTATTGCTACAACATACCAGAAACCTGCATCTACATTTGAAGGGAAAAACGTATTCTGTATCAATGAATAAGGAAAAGCATCAGCATCCAGGATGGAAGAACCAAAATACAGGAAAGCACAAGCCTGACTTGGCTATAATCTGTAAGAAGTCTATCTCAGGTAGCAAAACCCAGAATTCATCAGATGGCTACAGGAAGCTGCCAGGAAAAACATAAAAGAGAACATGAGTGGTTCATATAAGCTGTACTTATATGCTGTAAGGTTAAACAACCTGCTGTGCCTTTCCCATGTAACCTACAGCCCTCTGAAATGATGGAGCCAGCTCCATCTGGAGGACCTGTGCTCAATGCTTTATTTAACTTAATGTATTTTCTTGTGATACTATTCCCGTGTTTTGCTGTAGTGAGTAAGTTTGGAAATACTGTACTTAAGTAACTGCTTGTGAAAAAAAGGCAAGACTTTGGCAGCTGAGAGGCACACTTAGGAATTTCAGGACTGGGGGAATTAACATGGACTGGCTGTTTATGTTGAAATCATCAGCAGCCAAATAGTCAGTTGTAGTAAAATGCCACAAAAGGTACCATATAATCTTAATTGTTTAGACTCCTTTTGTAATTATCAGAGAAGAAGATCCCACATGGGTGCAAACCATCACTCTTAGATGCATAATTCAATACCAGATGACTTTTTTGACAGATGCACCTATTTGCCTCTGCTGCTTATGGAGCCCAGACTGCTCAGATAGAAATGTCTCAGACTAAGTGGGTTGGCTCCCCCCTCAAGTCTCAAAATTAACATTTGATTAATCTAATGAAAGAAGTCACACATCAAAGAGCCTGCTGAACGTTGCTGACAGGTTCCTGGCAGGGTCAGAAGAGCTGTGGTGCTGCAACCAGGGCAGCTAACAAAGCTACGGCCTCTGTTCTTTGCGCCTTTGCTTTGCTGCAGCTCCTTCCCCTACAACAGAGTTGGGAGAACAGAACATCTGTACATCTCAAGTGCTTCAGAAAGTCTGAAATTTAAGAGATTCCCTGGCACACTTTCAGGTCTCTGTGTGCCATTTAAACATAAGCAAGCACATGCATTCCCTGCTGCCATCTCTGCCTGTAGCAACCTTGGCCAGAGAAAGCAGTGGCAAAGCAATCCATCCTTCACTGCTGCAGTTCAAGCACTCTTCTCTGTTCCCAGATGAGTACACAAACTCCACAATTCCCCTGGAAGCATGTTTGCAAGTGGCCACCAGAACAACTCTTCCCCTAAGCTCAGTTACAGGTCACCTCACTGGGAAGCAAATCACTCACATCCACCACTCTCCAAGCAGCACGTTCCTCACATTCATTTTTCTCTCCTGTTTCACTACATCCTCTTATTTCCTCAGCTAATTTTGTCTCACTGAGCTGCTTTACCTTCCTCCTGCTATATTCTCAGCTATTTCATCACCATAAACCTGTGCTGTCTTTCTTCCAGCTCTCCCCTTGCCTGACTCCCCTTCACTCCTGACCAGTCTTTTCTGTGTTCTCCTCATCTCCATCCATCAGTGACCATCAAGGTCTATACAGTTCTCCATCTCAAGCTCACCCCTCTACCACCATAACATACCGTGCACTCAGTGCACGCAGTGACTGAAAGGTCTCTCATTTGTGAATCTTCTCAGAAAAAATCCTGTTGTTTTTCATCCCATTTCCAAAAGCCTCTTCTGTTTTACTACAGAAATGTCCACCTCTGGAAACAAAACCACTGTCTACTTTCAAAAACTAATTTTGCATTCTGAAAATGCCAGAACATACTTTTGAGACAAGGAGTCATAGAAGTCTACAGTTTGCCAAAACAAAAATGAGTTATTTTAGAACTAGAGATAAAATTTAAATTAATCCAACAATTCAAAAGCCTTTCCTGGGGAGGAGGGAAGGGATGCTTGGGAGGATGTGAGAATCCCTGTGGGAATGGATGAACTCGCTTTAATTCCCAAGGCTTTCCCAAACTTCATACTTCTGAGATTTCAGCTTCTAAGCCTCTTATGCTCCACAGAACCGAGAGCTGGGAACAGTCAGGCTGGCTGGCAGGAGGGTGGGATGTGTCAGTGCTAGAAGAGGGAGAGGAATCTGGAAGGTGGAGAGAAGAAAGAAGCAATCTGTATCCAAAACCAGGCAAAAGCCACTGCTGGAAAAGAAGTGCTCATCTGGGCTGGTATGCACAGTGAGTAAATCTCCTCTCCCTTTGATTTCTGCTGGCAACTTAAGGGTAGAGTTAACTGGAAAAGTTGTCGAAACTGCTCTGAACACCCCTGTGAGCCACACTTGTGCCCCTTTCTCCTTCCTGGGAGCACAGCCTTCCCCGCACCACTGCAGGACCTCTGCTTTTCCTTCCCCAGGGGCAATTTCAGATCTCCTTTTCCTCGCTCAGACTGCGGTTTACAGCATCCAGAAGGGATCTGTTCTCCATCAAGTGGTTTCAACTCAGCAAGGGGCCCGCAGGTCCTCCCATGACCGCTCCAGCCAACGAACCTCTATTTTCCCTCTCAGCTTTGCTGGTGGCAGTACAAGGAAAGCTGGGGCACGTTTGTGCTGTCTGCACGAATCCCAAGAACACCTGTGCTCCCCAACAGCTCCACTTGTTTGGGGTGGCCAAGACAGGCCTTATGTACAAGCAAAGCAGGAAGACTGGCTGTGCAGTCAGCTCAGAAATAGCTCAGAGACGTCCAAACTGCAGCAGGACTGCCCAGCCAGCCTGTCTCAAGCTGCTGGAAACCTTCTCTCTCACCTCCTCAAACCCTTAATTGCTTCTTAGGAACCAATTCTTCTTGTTGCTCCACAACTGAGGGGGCTGGGAGTTGTGGCAGAAGCAACAGTACCCCCTTTGATGAGGAAAAAACCAGCTGTTTACCCTACATGCTCTCACTTAGGGCCACGGGCCTCTTAGCAACGTCAGGTGCTGTGAACTTTCTAGATCTGTTCCCTTGGTGTGGGCTGGGGAGGAGGGTGCTCTGCCTTCTCCAAGGTTCCTGTATCTGCATTCCCCTGGGCAGATGCTGAACACATGCTGGTGCCAGCTGGTCCCTGGCTGTGTTCTGGGCTTGCTCACACTGTGGGCTGGGACTCCAGTTCACACCTGTAACCACAGCTCCCAGAGCCCTGAGCCCTCCTGGGCTGGTGCAGGATGTGGGCTACGTCATCCCCAAACCCCATCAATTCCCAGCAGGGACTCAGGGCTGCCGCACTCACACTTATATCTTCCTTCACACTTATATCTCAAGGGAGCGGAGGATAAATTCACTAGTCTGCATGAGAAGCTTTCCCTTCCTCTCCCTGTTTCCACAGCTCACTTCTAGCAACCACTACTCAACCTAAAGCAGCTGGGTGATGGGAAGGGTGGGCGTGAAAACTGCCCAGAGCTCACCTTATACAGCCACAAAAGGTGGAGGGAGACAGGCAGAGAGTTCATCAAGGCTGCCTTCAGAGTACTCCCCCTTTACAGGCTGAAATCCTGAGCTTTGGCTGCTCTTGCTTTGTTGGCCAGGCTGTGACCTAGGCACAAGGTCCTGCACTGTGCATGTAGCAGACTGCGGCCTTGCTACTACCCACTGCCACTCGTGCACCCTACAGAAATTTCATGTTAGCAAATAAGCCATTAAAATCCTGCAATGCTCAACTCTCAACCTGTAGTGCAGCACGCTCACACATCACTAAATAGATCAGAAGATGAAATGCCAGACTGTAACTCCCCTATCCACCTCCAGAAAGCAAGCTCTTACCACAGCCAAGACCAGAGCTGTGAAGCTAGGGCAGCAGTCAGAGATGCTGCATTTGCAGAAATTGGGGCCTTGGGATACAGCTTGAGCTCTCCCATGGGTTCATGCTCAGGCACAGCTATGATGCATTTTCCTGAAAAAGCTGGAGAGCCTGTGCAGCAGCAGGGAAAGGGCTCTGCCTGACCCCCTGAACATGCTGCTGGGCCAGGAGCCTTGCAGAGTAAGACTCTAGGCATCTGTGCTCCATGTTCTGCCTCTTCTCACAGCTGGCTGAGCTGCACACACGAGGCTTTGCTGCAGAAGGGGCGGAAACAGGCTCCGAGTCTTCACAAAAAGACAAGAAATCATGAGTTGGACCCTCAGAGATTTCAGGCTTCCAGATGAGCCCTCATGTCTCTTTGGCTCTCTGTTGTTGCTGTACATTTAAAAGGTTTCTGCAAGCCTGTAACCTAAATTTGGCAGTGGAAAGTCTGTGTATGAAATAGCAAATGTTGCGTGGGCCAGACCTGTCCACACAGCACTGGAGAAGAAGGGGAGAGGGTACAACACTGAGTGTATGACAGGCGACTGGCTGCACAGTGCCTACGCTGCTCCCTTGTTATGTGTCCACCCACCGTCTTCTCCCATCTCCTTCCTCCTCCGGTCCCTCCATCCTTGCTGCCTGTCCCCTTCCACTCAGAACTTGTGGCACAGACCCAGAAGGTTTTTTGCTTGAGCCGTGCTAGCTGTCACTGTGCTACCCGCTCCTTACACTGCCTGCCATGCAGAGGAGCAGATCCCAGGGCTCGGAGATGGCCATCTCTGAAGTGACAGTGCTATCCTCTCTCCAGTAACGTGAGGATTGCACTGTGCTGAGCCAGGATCCTGACTGTACACCTCTTCTGAGGCAAAATATTTGAAAATGTGGAAGGAGGAGGAACTCACTCTGAACACGTCCTGTCTGCCAGCAGAAAAGAGCTACTCTACAACCAGCTGATCTCAGTGGAGTCTGACTCTCATTCCCAAGTTTTCCCACAACATAGAGCAGTTCCACAGCACAAGAAAACCCACTGCAAATAAGCAGTGCCACTGCAACTGCAAACACCCATCCCAGGGCACTTCTAACAGCCTCTTGCAAGTCGTCTGAAGCTCAAGCATTGCAGCACCCCCAAGCAATAGCTTTTCACTCTCCTATCAAGCACCAAAGAGCTTTCTTCCCTCCCCGAAAGAGACATTTGCCTGTGGTGCACTGGGTGTTGGCTGCTGAGCACAAAACACTCCTTCTCCCCAAAAGCATCCTTCCCTAGAAAAACTGACCTCCTTTGTGAGCCAGGTCCCTCTCTGCTCTGAACAAGACACGCTGTCACATCACCCTTACTGGTTGCCCAGGTACTCTCTGAAAACACCTCTAACAAAAAGCTAAAGCACCAGCAGCTGCTAAAGCCTCTTCAGTCTCTTGAGCCACACAGAACTGACACAGTAGGTTGCACAATCTAAAACATCTTTCCCCAGGACTATTATTAGACACTTTTATTAGTGCTTTATGTATACCCAGTGAACAAGGCTCCAGAGTAAGGCAGCAGGCTGTATAAGCCAAGACAGAGAAAAAACAGCATTTGTGCTTAGGTTTAATAAATCACTCTAATTCCCATGTTAACTCCCATTGCCACATCTAAGCCAGAGAAAATAGCAGAGCCTGGTTTGAGGCCAGGAGTGAACATGAGTTGAGAGCTTTTAACAAAGTTTCAACAGAAAACGCCCTGAGCTGCTGTGCATGAGTGAAAACCGGCAGCCAGCTCAACGACTAATGGCAGCGCAGGGAGCAGACCCCCAGGCAGCTCTCTCCTCAACAGAAAATACCCACATTTCAACACTTCTGTCCACATTTTGATGAAAAACAAACGCAGAAGAACTGTTAAGGGAAATGCCTCAGTGTTTTCACCCAATGCTTCCGCTGGCTTTAATAACAGTGTAACTGCATCTTCTCATACCTTTGACACAAACCAATGAAAGAATACATTAGAATCCGCAGCAGTCTCCTAGAAAAATGTCACCACACACCAAAGTAAGTGGAAGTTTCTTGAAAACAGAATTTCTGTCACTTCCAGACATCTCAGACAATAAAAGAGGTGTTATGTAAAAAGGTGCTGTGAAGCATGCTTTAAAAAGGGGAGTCCTGAATGAATTACGGTTGTTAAATTTGTTGGCACTAATTTGTTTTCTTATCCAACGTGAATGCTCATGTTCTGCATAAAGCTCTCATTTCTTTCTCAGATTTGTAAGTGAAGAAAGAACAAGCGTCCTCTGCCACTGTGGCCACGCTCAGGGTGCAGCACTCAGGGATGTCCTACTCTAAGGGACAGAGTTCTCAATTACAAGGTTGGTGCAGACAGTATCACCCCTAAAATCAAGACACAAGCCAAGCAGTAACCAAGCGCACTGTAAGGGAAAGAAAGAAGCTCCGCCTGTTGAAAGCATCAAGGATACCGGGCAGAATCTCAAGCAGAGATCACCTACATCTGCCCATCCCAAACCTGCTCTCCTTCCCCTCCTGCTTACTCATCACTGTGCCCTTGGGCTCCCATTATCTCATCTGCGCTCTCAAGCCAAAGGGAATCGTCTCTGCAAAGGTGTTTAGTGAGCTCAGCCACGAAGATAAGTTTTCCTGTGCATAAGTGTAACTTAAGCATGGGTTCATTTTCAGTCTTCAAACCCTGATCTCTCAGAACACGTATTACTGGCATATTTCACAAAACTTAACTCCCAGGAGGCTGTGAGTCTAAATGGTCTAGCGGCCACATACTGCACAGAAACACCCTGAAGGATTTCTGTTGCATTTACATCTGAAACCAGAGCCACAGAAGTGAGGCATTTTGTTCTCTGAAACCTGGATTCATAATAAAAAAACATTTATTTGTGAAAAATGCTAAGAGGGCAGGCCAGCATGGCTGCAGGGTGGAAGTCCCCGCCTTTGCGCACCACAGACATCCATCACACTTACTTTGTAAAAGCGGGAAAGGATTTGAAATCAGGGGACTTGCGGTTTCTGCAAAAAAGAAAGAGATTTAAATATTGAGACTGGCAGAGACCTCGCTGCATGCTACACAGCTCTGCCTATCTGCTCGCTGATCCTTATCCTTATCCACACTTCCAGATTTAATGGTGGCAGGATGGGGGTCTCCATTTACTGCAAATTATGACATGTTCAGCTGTGAATTTTCCCTCTCAGTGTCTTTCTAAGTATCTCACGGCTGGGAATCTCGTCTTTCCTTCCGATTTTGAAATGTCCAGAGATTTTTACCATACACCCTATTCTACAGTAATGGCAACAGTCAAGTGGGGAGGGCCAGCAGAAGAAATGCTAAGGGGGCAAGAAACCCTTTATAAATGGCTTGTTTTGGGGCCCCAGATGCAGTTTCCCCAAACCAAAGCTGGGGAAGAAAAATAGGGTGTTTTAGCCTCACTGGATGGTATGCCAAAGGATAGTTTCTAAGCAGTGCACAATACTTCAGGCTGAGAATACGTATTTTCTGTTGAGCACACCTTGCAGATTGCCTCTCTTTAAGGTATGACTGAAAGGAACAGAAATCCTGCACGCTCAGTGAGCCCTTGGTCAACCAGGGGTCATCTGCATCCACCCCACAGTGCATGGGAGCAGATGCAGTGATTCCCAGCACCTTAGACCCTGTACAGTTTCCTACAGTTTCCAGGTGAGGTCCTCTAGTGTCAAACCCCTGCAGAGGGGAAGAAACCATTAGCGTTAAATATTTGGTCATCAATTCAGTGCATTTACAGAATAGTCTCAGGTCCAAAGTTACAAACTGATGCATCAGTGAATGAGGCTCTCAGGGCTGACAGACTTGGGACTGGTCTGCTTGGAAGGAAAACTTTACTCATTAACCACATAGGTCAAGCACAGTGAGCCTTCGTGCTGAATATTTCAACATGATGAGGACCTGAGCTATTGAAAAGGGCTTCAGCTGGCAGGGCCAGCCAGTAAGGAATGAAGATGAAGGTATGGATGATGCTTGGCAAAGACATGGATAGACAGTGCTATGGAAAGGGTATGCATGGAAGGCATCAGCTGGATACAGAACACTGCTGATCACTTAACACATTTCTATTACCCAACACTGCACTAAGAGTGCTGTTTGCAGCTGATGAGGTCTGTATCTGAAGATCTTCACTGAAACAGATTCCTAATCTGGTCCTACTGAGCAGCTGAACAAGACAGGCTCCTCTAGGTACCACTGTTTCACTATTTGTGCTCTCTGCCTCTGCTTTGGAAAGCATTGTAATTAATCAGTGAACGCAAGGATGATCACTGGACCATCCCATGGCTTTGGGCTTTAAAGGGCCCTTTCCACACCCCAGAGGCAAGTAAGCTTTGGAGGGCCAAAACCCAACATTTTACTGTTCCCCCAGAAGTGAACCTGATCTGGAAGAGGCACACAGCAGTGACATACACCACTTAATACACCACAATGAATTCTCAGCATACTCTCTGTCTGCTTTCCATCCAGAAGTGCTGATGGAGTCTCCTCATTATGCCTGACTTCCTATACAGATGAAAACCATTGTCAGTCTGCAACATGTGCTCAGGCCACTTGCTAAGCATTGATACTATGGTATGTGAAGTGAAGAAAGACTGTTGGGATTTTTCTGGTCTTTATGTTATGGACCATTTTGTTATCCATGTATGTAATGTCCCAGACTCAGCACAGTCAGTTCCACTACTGCCACATACTCAGAGAACAGTCACAGAAGTGTCATCGTTTGAACGATTATTGATAATTAGGCTTGCTCTCTTGGGATTTGCTAATCTTTTACTCCACAGATTCTCCAGACAGCACCGAAACAGGAGGTCATGTTTTTCTGCCCATACATTGGTCTATCAATGACTCTTTTTGCCATGTACTGTCCATCCCCAGCCCAGCCCAATATCTGTGCTTGAACGTTGCAATCCACAGCTCGTATCACTGTCTGTTCCCAATTTTGCTGACTACTCACACTGATGCCTCAATGTCTTTCATATGTATTGTCCCAGTGTCCTTCCTAGTGTCCCAGGGCTCTTGAGCAATTGGCAGGATATCACCCACAGAGACTTGCTGCTGAGTGTCTTTTTTTTAGCCCAGATACCTTTCTTCCTGTCTACAAGCTGCCTGTTCAACATGCCAAGTCTGGAACAACTTAAAACAAATGTGGCATCAGAAACAAACAGTTTATTCCCAGAAACCTCAATTCTACGCAAATGCCCAGTGGACACAGTGACTCTTATTTATGTGACACAGTAAAGCAACACTTCCTTAACTAAAGCCTCTCCCTACGTTACGCTTATTCTGATGGTGAGAACTGCACTCAGATGGTAACCTTTCATCTGAGTACACCATTTTTAGGCTGCTTTGAAAAATGCAGTTCTATGCACATGTAATTTTGTTGCCCCATCAGCAGCACTACCAGTGCTCTACACAGGTTAGTTGCAACAAGGGGGGAGCTCACATAACAACAACTCCCCCCGTTTCCTCACTCCTCAAATTGGTTATTAGCAGACTTGGACCTCCCAACTCTATGGGACAGCAGCAGTAGCAGGCTTGTACTCTTTGCAAACCAACCAACAGATGAGAAAGAGATTTACCAAGAGATGAACCACTTGAATGGGATTTGTATTTTGTGCTTCGGTCTAGCTGACATAACCTCTAAGACAGTTGTGGGTGTCTCTGGAGGCAGAGGCGTAGGGGACTGTCTGTGCTAACATCAGACTGTAATCAGTAATTAAGAATTATTCTGTCCCAAGCATTAAAGCTGCACTCATCCACCAAAAATCCTAGCCTAGAAGTCATACCTTCCCAGAAGAACTCCAACCAGATAGGCTATTTGATCACTGGACTACAGAGAAAGAGCAGAAGAGGATGTATGGTCAACAACAGAGAAGAAAGGTCCCTGTGTTTGTAACACACCTAGCTGATCCTCCCATATGTGCACCATGACCACCTGCACTTTTAGCACAAAAGAGAGTTTTTTGGCCAGAAGTTTGGCAGTAGCCAGTGCCGACTCTCTTAGTCTGGCCTTCCGTTCAGGTGCACCAGGGGACTGGCATTGTAAGGGCAATGGTAGGAACTGAACTCCTGTTATTGCAACAGAAGTTGCATGGGGAACTCAACCAGACATCATGTCTGCTCTCATCACCACCAAACAAAGCTTCAGAAGAGACTTAAATTATGAGTTTAATGTTGATTTGCACTCTGTCTTTTTGCTGCTTTCCATAAAACTAAAGGTTCGTTCTGCTCAGTTACTAATCAAGAAAGACATACTACCTATTTCTGTTTAAGAGACTACCCTGTTTAACACATGCTAATAATAGCGGGTTTATGTGGCAAGTGGTGAATGAGGCATTCCTAATTGTCCTTCTGCTTTAAGTAGTTCCATGCTACAACTGGACATGAATTAGGAACGATAATATACTGTAGGATGAATATCTTATGTACATTTTCACTAGCTAAATATAACTATCTTAAGTGTGCTGCACATGTAGGAAAATAAAGTGCAGTACTGAAAAATGTTTTGCACTTAGAACTCATTCACTAAAAAGAAATATAGCATGTAAGATTAGGAAAATTCCACTAAATGCATGTTTAAAATTTGGTCCTATGTCCTTTACATTTCGAGAACTGGCACTTCTCATTTTTTTCCAAAAATTTTTACTTCTAAATTGAAAGGAGGAAATTAACATTTTTTTGGTCTCAATCTCACCTCAGCTTGGCATGAACTGACTCAGAAAAGAACATATTTCCCTTGCCCCTCTACCCAGTCTGAAATAAACTCTGCTGGAAAGAAAAGCTTCCCTGTCTAAATATGAATGAAAAACACTGACATTTTAAAAACTGTAAATGCTAGAATTTGTTCCCCTGGAACTTATGACAGTAATAGTTACCTAATGCAGCAGATGAAATTGAGACATATTTATATAGCTGAAGTCAACCTTGAAAGTTAAAAATATTTCCCAATTCCCTACATAATTTTAAGTGTTGTCTCTTTCACATTCATAATGTCTAGCAAGTTTAGACATCAACAAATACTACCAATTTCAATTTGCTTTTTCCTTTTGATAGCTGTATCTTAAGGTATCTATTTTTTTTCCTTTTCGCTTTTTTTTTTTTCTCTTCTTGAAGTCTCACAATTTCCTTCATCCCTCTTGGCCTACAGGTGGTGTAACCGCAAATTCTTCATTTTACTAAAAAGTCACCCACAGCGTCCAAAACAAGAGATCAAGGCTGGATTATGCTGTAAACACTAAGTTAGAGATGGTTGCTGCCTCTGAGGTTTTCCAAAGTTGGACAAAAAGCGAGACGAGAGAGATCCAAAAGCTTGGGCAGTAACATGTGGTTACACACTGCATCACTGCAGGGCCAAGTCTGCCGAGTCCCTGTCAAACACTGCTCTGCCCACTCCAGCTGTGCAAAGAGGAAGAGGAAGGCAGCAAGCCTTTGCTATTGAACATAATACACGTATTTGCCCCTTTCGGGGACTTCTTCCTTCCCATGCTCAGGCTGATAATCACTAGCCTTTGCAGTAAGAATATTTCAGAAGCTGGCCTTCAAATATTGTTTGGCCTCTTGAAAATTTAGTACAGAAAACCCCTGCACATGTCAATACTCATCAAAATGATCACCAGCAAGGAGTGTGTTCTTGGAAGCAGCTTTACAGCATCTTAGATGTATTGCTCGTGCATTGCAACAAGCTAATTCCATCTTTCAGAGTCAGGTCATGTCCCTGTTTTTTTGGACCTTGCTTAGTTCAGCAGTGAATAATCACAAGCTTCATGTGACTTGGGATCTCTGCATTGACCACCCGCGCTCCAGCGGCAGCACAAGAAAGCAATCTGCACATTTTAGCAGATACTATTTTTAAAGCACTGTGAAACATCCAGGTTTCATCAAAAAGCAAGTTTAAGGGGTTGTGGAGACTCTTCCCCATTTATATAAAAGCCACTCTCCCAGTCATGAGGTAGATGGCAGCTGAACAGTCCTTCTCCATCCACTCTGTGGCTCCATCACGCCCTGCTGGGAGACAGACCTTCTGCTAGTAGACAGGACTCCAACACAGCCACAAAGTCGTGGTTGCCATGCAGAATAGGAACAGTTGTTTTACAGGCAGTAAGATGCCAAGTTACTCAGATAAGGATAGCGGGTACCTGCATTCACTAACATCAGGATTGGGGCTGTGCATAGGGAAAAGACATCTGAAATCCAACGTTTTCCACTCTAGTTGTCTTACTCCCACTTAGGACTCCCCACAGCATTGCATCCAAGTCTATTTTAGGTGGCTTTAGTTGCTAACCTTCCTGCTCTGCTTGTCCTCCCCCTTACTCCAGACATGAAGCAGTCTGTGGCACTGTAAGTCAGGACACTGACACAGGGCAAGAGCATCAGTTAGGCTGGGTGGCCTAAAAAAGTCCTGCTGCTCTGCTGTCACTATCACTGAGCCTGTGATGCAAAACTCACATCCACGGTGAGCAAGTGGTACAGGGAATCAAGCATTTAACAAGGTCAAGTCACACAACTCTCAGGCTGCTCAACTGGGACCTACATTTATCTCCCAAACCTGGGGAGTATTCTTTACAGTGGCAGGAGTTTGGTGATAAGCAGTAGATGGGGGTGGGGTGGATGGACGTGTCCATCCTTCTCTCATTCTCAACCACATTATCAGCTGCTCCTTCCCTATCTGTGTGAAATCTGCTGGCTGGACTATGAGAGGACAAGCCAACAATTCCAGAATTACTCCTAAGAGTTCACATCACACATGAACACTGAGCCATACAGAGTTTGTCCCACCTATTAAAACCATGGAAAGAAGGGAAACAGGGAGGTAATGGTATGTCAGCTCTTCAAAAAGGAAGTTACCAAGATCTCTGCTTGGACACCCAAACATGCAGTTGCCTGCAGAGCTTCCTAATCACCAGTGCCATTCATAGCGTGACACGGTGATGCCCACCCAGGCTGCTATCAATGAGATCGTTTAGACTGACTCCTGAGAACATGAAGAAATGAAAGAGAAGAAATGGCTTGGTGCAAGAGCTGGAAAAGAGCACTGAACAGGACACACAGGGAGCAGCACAAAGATAGAGTCAAGGGGGGAAAACAGAGCTGGGGAAGAAAAGAGGATGCGTGACAGATAAGGGAAGGGGGAAAAGGGAAGAAGTTTATACATCTCCATGCACCAGTCTGGCTTTGAGGAGTGTGTCAGCTGCTTAATGCAGAAAAGAACTGTTGCCAACCAGAGCTCAACTCCCCTCAAACCAGTCCTGAGCAGCTCACTCAAGTTCTTGAGGTTTCCTGCCTCAAACAAAAGTTTAGGTGAGCACCCTGCAATTCCCCTGAAGTCTGCCAGGCCCTAGACTAAGCCACTAAAATAAACTGACCATACATGTGGTGCAGACAGAAACACTTCTTACAATGAAATAAGGCAAACAAATCATACAAAACTCACTACTCAATCTGTAAGAATTCCTGGCTTTGTTTTGATTTTTACTGTGAGCTTTTATTAATGTGCTTTAAATGCTGCAGTTCAGATAGAAACAGATTCAGAAGGATGAGTGTGATGTGAGCTGGTACAAGGAATGATGGCAGGGAGAATCTGTGAGATGTGTCACAGCAACAATGGGTCAGTATTTAATAACAGTTCAGACAGAACTAAAGTCTTGGACTATTCCATACAGCCACTCTTTGTGTGTGCTTCTTGGCAGTGGTTCCTGGACCCCCCTCCCATGCTACAGGTTCATTTCTCCTCCTGCAAAACTAAAAAGAGGAGGTTTTGAGCCAGAAGGTTTTACAATGCAGCTTTCTTGGCTTTAGGAACAAGCTGTTTGATATGAAGAAAGATAATTCTGTCCCTCCTCTATAAGCTATACAGGTTTTGACAGGAATAAAAAAGGAACAATCTAAGGCTGCTGCTTTCAAAGGGCCCCAGAGGAGTCAGGAACCCAGATGGTATACTGGCATTTAAAGACGTGCACTTAAAGGCTTTGAAACCCTTCAGACAAACCACTCGTACTACCACAGAAGACAAGACATGAGGAGCAGACATGCTGAGAGGCAAGAGGCCACTCTCGGAGCAGCAAGTCAGGCTAGTAACTCTTGGCAGTCAGTGAACTATGCTGTTTTGTGTCATGTCTAACAGCCTGGTTGGGCTGACTGAAGACAGACTTGGCCAGCCCCTAAGGACTCCTGACTGCTGCTACCCAAATGGAACACGACTAAAGAGTACAAGGGCCTGAAACACAGAGACAAGCTCACCTGATGGGTTCTGCTTACACCTCTTTTCTTTAGGTTTTTCTGTCCCCGAATGAACAGCTGTAATTGTGGTGAATGCTTGGATTAGTACAGGATTGTTCCCCAAAACATAATATGCAGTATTTTAGTAACAAACAACTTTTTTCCCATTCACTATCTCCCACTCCAATACCACACACGGGTTTTCCAACACCACGTCATTCCTTTTCAACATGGTTACAGAAAGCCCCTTATCTGCTTCAGAGACAGACATAAACCCCCACAACAGACACTGTGTAACCCGCTCCAGGGAAAAATCCCTTCCCTTACCTGTCCGTTCCAGCTAGCAGCATTGTGAACACCAATGTTTTGGTACTCTTGAATGGGGAGCAGAGGGAGGCCAGCCTTTTCTGCTGGCATGTTATTTATCTCTTCATCAAGATGCCAAAATTATGTTTCATCTGGTCTGTCTGTTATGCTCCAATTAAGGAGCATAAGAGAATGGCAGTGTCCTGCTTGAAGGCAGGGGGATACACTGGCAGGATAAAAATCTTGTAAAGAAAACTCTATAAATGGTGTACCTAAACAAAATTGTCTAGGCCAGTGGTTATGTTTAGCTACTACCAACTGAAATTAAAACTCAAAGGGAACTCCAGAAGTGGAGTAAATTTTAATTCCTTGTAGCACATGTATTTTGGTCCCACGTCTACACATCTGGTAAGCTGTGACCTCCATGTAGTGAACTCACAAATGGCTGGACTCTGGTTACAGTGATGTGTAAACAAATAGCCACATTTAGCATCACTGTAATATGCAAACTGCTGTTCTGTTCATAGTCCTCAAACTTCTCTTCCTTGTTACAAAAGGCTTTGCTTCATAAGGACTTCACTGATGCACAGACAAGGAACGAGTACTGCTTTATCTCCATCCATATTCCTCTTCTCTACACCTTTGCTACCCACTGAAAAATCTATGCTGAAGTATCTGGATCTTGGGAGCAGGATGCCAGTATCCTCTTTTTTACAGGCATGGAGTGCCAGAACCTGGAGAGGAGTGAGAAGAGGGCACTACCCCAGGAAGACTAGCTGCCTGCAAGCTTAAAGAAGGTATCCCAAACATATCACCAATCACAGCTGAGTCTTGCTCTGAAGAGGGATGTGGTAAGCAACAGCAGGAGGGAGTGAACACACTTACCGCTGGAGTTCTGAGAATTGCTGTTTGTTTCCTCAAAGTTGTTTTGCGCTTTGCCTTCCACTCTCCTGCTGAAAGCGCTTTCTGCTGGGTAGAAAACAAAGCAAGGATGGTGACTGGTCAATACCGCATGCAGAACCACACAGACAGGAGGCAAGACAACACGCTCCAGTGCCACATAACTGCATATCCTAAATACAGCAGAAAGGTCAAATATCTCGTTCTGGAGGCAAACGGGCCAGATTCATTGAAGGGATAACAGGTAGATATTTTTCTTGAATGCCTTCTGGCTGAGGTGCCCTGGATTGGCTCTTAGGGAGCCCATGAACACCACTCCTGACTGAACCAGAAGGGTCATGGCTCCCTCCCCTGCAGAAAACCCAACCCTTATCTTACTCTTCCTTAAGGCACTGAGCAGCCCTTGAAGCCTCTGGCACAGACGGTTTGCAGACTGAACTCAGGTCCTCATCATAGCACGTACAGTGTCACCCACAGAAGCACTATGTCAACTCTCCCTGAGCTTCCCAGTAATCTGCATTCCCTTCCTGAACAGCCTCCCGGAAATGTTCAAGCGGAGGACTGACTGACCAGCTGTCTCAGAGCCTGCCACATTGTCTGGAAAAGCTACAGTAGGTCCTCTGGCCCTCTGTGCTTTCCAACAGTGAGCTCGCTACTGCACACCTCCCCAAGGCCAAGCAGGCAGGCTCTGCTCCTCTGCAGCGTGCTGCCAGCCAGTGCTCCTGGCAGTTCACTTGTTTTGCACGCTTCAACAACAGCACAGGGCAATTTCCCAGTAACTGCAATGGGGGGACTCCTCCAGTGCAGGCTACTGACCCCGGCAGTAGCTACAGTGTCCTGAAATGTCCCTGTACAGCACATCTGATGTGTCTCCCATTCTCCTCAAGCTGGTGTCCCTTAGCACAAGTTCAACAGTACAAATAGTGCGAAGTCTCGTCTCATTTCAGCTAGGTCTGCAGGATCTGTGCAAATGTATTTACTGTAGGGACTAAACTAGAAATACAGAAAATGAAAGGTGAACTGGCCAAACTAATGTGTATGGTCTATGCTGTACAGACTCTCCCCATACGTGGACTTCATTCATGAAGTCCACTGTCACTGAAAGCGTTTGTCGGAACATGACTTAGCAAGGCTCTGCTGGGCTCAGCAGTATGCAAATTGTATAGGGAGGGAGTTGGGGGACAGAAGTCTTTCAGAAGCGGTCCAGCCAATCCTTAGTGGACCCTTCCAAGTCCTGAGCAGGCTTCTCAAATTCTCAATCTACTACATGCCCGACTCTCTAAAATGCAGAACAGGAAAACTTAGATAATCAAATCAGTTAAAACAGAATCACATAAAACAGGGCTGAAAAGGAACCAGAGATATTAACTAGCCCATCCCCCTTGACAGATAAATAATAGGAATGAAAGGCTTTAAGTTACTAGAAAATCAGATGGCACAGTGGGAAAAAGAGATCACAACAAAACGATTAGGCCAGCCTACCCCCCAAGAGACCCAGGTTCAAATCCTGGCTTACGTCACAAGTGGAAGTGAGTTTGGAAGTCTCCAATAATGTTTGGAAAAAATCTGCATGGTAGTTTGTCTTCATCTTCTATCTTTTTTTTTTTTTTTTTTTTTTTTTTGGCCAAGTCTGGCAAAAAGGAAAAACTGGTTTAATGCACCTCCTTGGACTTACTGCGTCCTCATACAGGAGAGGGCAGTTGACACAAGTTGTCTGTCTGTCTCTCTCTCTCCTTGTACCTGAAACTTTTGCACACAAAGCAAAATTATCTGTATAGACAAAGTGCCACTCTGCTAAGCGTCTGTGCAAACACTGTCAGTGGAGTGGTACTCCACTGTCTCTGGTATTATCCAGGCCTACATGGAATGGCTCTAACTGCAGCACTTGGAAGGCATCCCTTCTGGAGACTGTCTTCCTGATAGGTGTTATGGTCAATGCATTTGTACCAGAAATTCAAGAAGCTGCTCAGATTGCATTTGTACAAGACACTGCCTTGAAAGACACCATGGAAATGACACCACCAGACGGGTAAGGTAGGACCCCCAGGCTAATATTAGTTTCTTGAAGATCAATCTACCAGGCTTGAGCATCATGCAATTCCTTCCTCCATACAGGAAGAGAAAAGCTCAAAGTTTTTACCCAGTGTACTGACATACTTTTTAATTAGAGAAATGGGGAAAAAAAGTGCCTTTACAAAAAACATCTCCCAGTTACTGCTCAGATGCATCTGGCCTCTGACCCAGGAAGGCAGGCTCCCCATCTTTCCACTTTTGTGAAAGACATGAAACTGGAAGAAGTTGTTGCAAGTTGAAGTAAATAATGAAAAAGGTTTCTCAGCTTTAACTCCTAACCTGGTTGAACTGGATGGACTGTAACTAGTGATAAAATCGTATCAATGTTTAAGAGGTGCAATAACAACATGGAATCTCAGGACTCACAAGCTGTAAGAAAACAGGTCACTCACATCTGGTAGCTGCAGGTATGTGTTATCTAACAAAAACCATCCTTGTTCAGCATCCTGTGGCCTCTCCCACCACAGCCACCTCTGCCACTTGGCATTCATCCATGCCAGACATTTCAGGGGCATTTAAACACCAGCTGGTTAATCAGCCCTCCTTCTGTACTGAGATGGAGTATGTATCTGTCAATTCCACAGATTTAAGAGAGTGATTCCCTGCTGCCTGGTCATATGAATGCTATGTGTCACATCCTATTTATAGTTATTTTTCAGCGCCCTTTGCTTGCTTTTTTTTTTTTTTTTTTAAATCCTTTCTTTTTTTTTTACAGTTTGATCATTTGGAAGGAAAAAACAGGGACTATGGGAGGATCAATCTTAACTTGAGTCTTCTAACACCTCTGTAATCGTTCTGTACTATTAATTTTGCTGCTGTAGCTCAGTTTATCTCAGTGGTTCCTGCGGATAGAACACTGTGAAAACACCTATGTTCCATTTAACTTCCTCAAGCACAGGCCTAGCCCTGAAAATATCACCTTGAGGGAAAGCAACACTAAATGCCAAACAAAGCTGAAAACCAAACAAAAATCCCCATACCTGACAAGCCACTACGTCAACCCTTGTCAGGAAACTCTCCTCAGTTTGTGACACCAGGATTTGAAACAGGGTCTTTTGTACCTCGTGATTATCATGATGCTTAAAAAACCCAACTTGTCCCTGCGAAGAGGTTATAAAGACCTACTGCTGATGTACATTTTTGTTTATAATGTGCCAAAGGATCTAATCCTCTCAACTGCTTCCGGAGTAGCTTTTTTGGGACAGTCATGGACAGAGCAGACTGAGTCCAGGAAGGGACAAAAGCCAACCCAGGGCAGGACTGGATACTAAGCAGTTAAGAAAGTTGATGGTAGAAAGGCAATTGGTACCTGTGATGGCCTTGCTTCCTGGGGATCCAGAATTTGGAGCGCGGAACATCTGGGATTGGGATGCCGGTGGGACACCGGAGGGGGTGCGGTGCAGGAGGGTAGAACATCGGTTTATTGAAGCCGGTGTTTTTTTGCTGGATTGGCTCGCTTGTGTCTTCACTGCCACGAAGAGTGGAGATCGAGAGAACTCTGGATATGAACACTCAGAACTAGTGCCTGGACAGTCAGTCAGCTCCCAGATCGTGTGCCTTCTGGGAGGGTTGCTTTCTAACAGCCACGCTCATGAATCCCTTGCATGGGGACCTGCAGCAACTGTGGATCCACCGATCCCATGTAACAAAAGTGTTTTCCCCACTCACCCGAGGGGACAGATTCTTGAAGCTTGTTAGTTCCCTTCCGCACTTTATAATTGCCATGTGACCAACCCATTCCTCCTCCAGCAGGAATCACCCCATCCATCCAGGAGTACTGGATGTACTGAATTGCCATGGCCTGGCTGGGTGCACCTGCATCTCTGTCCTCCATTTCTATGAATGTAAGAATCTGAATTTTGAGAGCTGGTTTCTAATGTGATACTCAGAGTTTTACCTCTTTGTTACTTGAGCCTTGTATAAATCCTAGATATCTCCAGTGACATTTCTTGTCTCGTTAACCAAATACAAAGGAAAAGGGGCTGTTGGTAATGGAAGGGAATTAGGAGGCAGAGTTCTCATCCTGCAAGTCAGGAAAGGCCTTTTGGCCCTCGAATCCAGACAAGTATGGGTGACACGTGGAGAAATTGAGAGTATTACTGGAATCTGCTCTTTGAATGTAACTACATTTTGGTCTCTGCAATGCACAGTGAGGATCACCAGGAATTTTCAATGCCAAAAGTCATATGAAAAACCTTCAGAATGACAGGCCACACGGATTAAAAAAACAATTACAAAAATGGAGAAACAACCTAGCAACACCCTTCGTTCCTCAGTGGCTTCTTCCACAGAAATTTGGATATGGCTCCTGAAGCCCAAGTCCCACTCCGACCATCTACCATGAAGAACCACTAAGAAACAAGGCTCACATAACCCACAGACCAAGCTTATTACTTGTGATTTCTACACAGTGATATTTTAGGATGCCTAAAGTTGAATGGACAACATTAGTACCTGTTCATCCTATATAGCATAATTCAGAAATACTCATCTACACTGAGCAGTTCTCTGTCATGGACTGTTATGGCAGCACAACAGCCTGACTCTGAAAAGGGTGAGGAGAAAAGTCACCCAGACTGGGACTGGATGCTCATTTCCAAAATCCCATGAGACATTATAGACTTCAAATGTGAACTGCTCTCACCTTTCATGTCAGCAGTCAGCAGCACTGGAGATTAAGGATTTAAAGCGGCTTGTAAAAAGACACTCAAAGGAAACACATTTTTGTTTCACTTGATCAGATACAGAGATCCAAGGTGACATTTCCTCTAAATGTTAGCGTACTTCTGCAGGAGATCCTGCACTAGGTTTTCTCATAGGCAGAAGGCTTGCTTTTGCTTCCTGTATTTCCTTTCAATCTCTGTGGATAATCCTCCTCCAGTTGCTGCCAAACTGCCAGCAAAAATGTAGTCAGATATGACAATTACCTGCTCATGTGTCATCTGGTTTCCCACAAGGCCCATTCCCATCTATTGCTGCTTTATTCCCTGTCTATACCAAGAGAAGTATCAATCAGCCAACTATTCAGTGTCAGAAACAAAGAAAGAGCATCACTGCGAATCCTCTGCAGTCCAGATACCATTCTCTTGAGACCTGAAGAAAAAAGTCTCAGTGCTATGAAGACTTCCAAAATGACTTCTTTTTCCTCCCGACCTAAACAAATAGTGTGTCTTCAAATTTGGACCCCAGAAAGAAAGCTGCTCCGTCTGACACTAGGCAGAGACAGAGTTTGAGCCAGAAAGACAGACAAAGGGATAGTTCTAGCAGTCTGGAGGATGCTAATAATTAATTGAAAAAGAAGTTTTAGTCTTTAGTTCATGAGATGAAAAATTCCCTCTGAAGACTAAGTGACACAGGTAGAAACGATCACAGAGCTCCTCTGTTCTGTTCTTTAAAAGTCATCTTCACTGTGGAACTCACTGCCTCAGGCTGATGAAAAGGCCACGTTCAAGGTATTTCCGAAAATGAAAATAGTGAGTTGCTGAATGGTTACAAAAACCTCCCACCTCAAAATCTGCAACCAGTCAGGAAGACTGGAGACAAAATTGTGGACAGATAATCCCATAGCTGCTGCTATAAAGTTTTTTAAACTTTCTCAGAAAGCATATGGGATATGCCCCAGTTGAAGCTGACGTACTGGAGAAGGGAGGGCAGGAGAGGAGAAATGCAGAGGGTAAGTCTCACCAAATGACCACCAGTCACTTGGTAAAATGCGTATACTGTGCTACAGCCACACAGAATGGCACATGGTGTGCTAAAGAACAGATGATACGGGTGATACTTAAAAGATGGGGGACTCTGCCTTAGCAGCAGGAAAAAGAGCTTGTTCATTGCCATGCTCAGTGACGATGGCTGTAGAAGAGCTCCTAGGGCAATGACAGCTAAAAAGACTGAGGTACTCTTTGGGTATGCAATTAGGGCACTTTCAAAAAGGGGATTAGGAAGACAGTGTTAGCTCTCAGTTCCTTCACTAGACCAGGTGCTGGTGCATGCCATTCACTAAGGTAGTTAACAGACAAGGATATTCAGATGAGAAGGCAAGAGGATAAATAAAGGACAAGAACAGCATACCTTACAATGGAAACATCAAGTCACTCTTGGCTTAACTGAGAGGTTAGTCACTGTGAAGTGACTTGACAGCAGGCTATACAAAGGTCTAGAAAGGACAGAAATTTGGTAACTTAGTTTTCCTTCAGTACCAGAGTTATAAATAGGATCCAGTGTCTGAAAGCTGCAGCTGGATATTTTTAGTCTTAATTTAATCAAAATAATTACCTTAAGAAGTTGCTGTATTTTCTACCACTCTTAACAGCAAGATTAGATAGCTCTCTAAAACATATGTGAGCAACTAAATCAAGGCAATCCTATAGCATGCATTACTCTGGTCAGTCCAGAGATCACAGTGGTCCCTCCTGGCTTTCCTGACTTTGATAAGACCTTAAAGCCCTGTGAATGAAAAGCCGTGGCAGTAAGTAGAAAATCTAGGAGACATTTCAACATGTCTCCTCAAAAGATACATAAATCTACACAGTACCACACCAGAACAGAGATGAGATTACCTCCGTAACTTTGTTTTTGCCAGTTAAAAATTGTGGTTAATAATGTGTGTATTGCATTTTTTCAGAAAGATCTCGTCAGAACAGGTAAGGAACCATTTGGATGGTTCAGATGGAATTATACCATCACCTCTGCAGAAAAATCTATCTTTAATGAGTATGATGGGAAGTGATTCCTTCACAATGGCCTGAAATTCAATATGCTGAGTGGAAACCTCTGCAACTGGAAACAGGTGTTTCCACAGGGAAAATCTTGTGCTCAAACCTATCGAATTCTTAATGTGCTTCTTTATCCATACAAACAAATACTGCCAGTGAGGCCTGCTGCTAAGGCACTGTGTGATCAGATAGTGCGAAAACCATCTGAACTCACAGATTTCATTCACTAAGATGGAGGAAGCAAAGACACACCACCCAACTAGAACCTGGATCTGTTTTTATCTTGTCTAGGCAGGACTTGCATACAAACTAGATGTGCTACCAAAAAGGATCCCTCTCCCTAAGAGAGAAAGCCATGATGGCTTTAAGAAACACTGCATTTAAACAATTTTGTTGAACAAATTGTATCCAGTGTCTTTCACAAAAAGAAAAGTAATTGAGCAGAGAGTGTTGATGAACTTCCTTGAGCATCACAGGTGTCAGCGTGGATGTAGGTCTGTCCCCTACAAAGCCAAGTACAATCACATGGCTGGCAGGGCAGGGTCTTCGACAGCCAAGGCCCATCCCATAGCCCATGAGAGTGACAAGGTAGAACCAGAGGTGACAGCCAGCTTCAGCCAAGAGTCCAGACCACCAGGAATTTCATGGTGGTGAGACAGGTCTGTGGTCAAGCTGGGAAGTCAATCCACAGGTCAGTGGCAGGATCAGATCTGGTGAGGATAACCAGGGCCAGACACATATCAGCAATCCTCAGGGAGGTCTACAGTGATGAGGGAGGGTTGACATCAAGCTGTGAAGTCAGTCCACAGACCAATGGGATCCACAGCCAGGCATGGGCATGTCTACAAATGAGCTGGAGACCAACACCCTACCGTGTAGCTCAGGCAGAGACTGATGGTCCAGAACTGAGCTGAAATAGGGGGTCTGAATGTGGGTGGAGGCCCCATGTGAGGCTGGTCAGGGCCAGTAAGACCTATTAGTCCACTCAGGGCCCTGACATCACTTTAGATTTTTATCCTGGAAGCAATAGACATGGATAGTTGTGCAGATTTTAGTTCTTTCAGCACATACTTCCATGACCAGGGAGTCTGTTGCCTTATATACAGTTACCAACAGAGGATGCAGTGAGTGCACGCTCCTGAGCCTGGACTTACCAAGCTAAAACCCACTCTTGGTGGCTTTTCTAGACAGTCCACATCCAAAACACACTAGGTTTTCTCTGCACTGTAAACACATCACCTAAGAGCAATTACAATAGTCCAGCTACCTGCAAATATGGTTAAATCAGTTGCATCTTACAGAGCAGACAGATCTTGGAGGAGAACAGAAAGAAATCTCTGAACCCTCCTCCTGTGCACCTCTGTTGAGAGACATTTCTAAAACTGGGACAATGAATGTGCCTACAATCCACTTTTTTTGGAAACAGCCTCTGACACCCTTCTTCGAAAGAGTGAATAGGCTGACAGAAACAGCACAAGAGTATGTATTTAAAAGAGTAATAGCACAGTTCTAAGCATATGAAAAAGCCCCTGCTCTTAACTAACAAAAGGGAACTTTCGAAGGAGACATTTGGCATTAACAATTCCAGGGAACCCCACAGCAGAGCTCTTTTCCAGACAGCAGGTATCCAGCAGCACTGACCACAAATTATCCTGAAAGGTCCTATTGACTCTGCAGGATACAAGTCCTTGTTTTAGCCCATTTTCAATGAATTTTTATCCATTATGACAGAAAACCAGAAAGACAGGCTCCGGAAGGGAAGCTTGCACTCAGGCAGAGAGACCCAAAAATTTGAACTGGTAATGCTGAAATGTTTTCCTTACCCACTCCCACTACAGCTAATTTTGCAGCATTTGCCTTATAACCTGAAGAACAAGCCCAAGATAAAGACACAGTCTCAGCTTTACTTCTTCTGACTGCTAGAGACCGAGAAAAGCCAGCTGTACTTTTCAAAGGTCATGTGTTTACAGCTGCCTCACAGGACCCTGGTTTATAGGAAGAGCAGAGTCTAAGCAGTAGAAAGGTGGGAGGACGTACTGGCCAGCCTGCCTTAGGAGCTAATCATGCCCTCTCCTGTATGCTCATCAGGGTTAGTGGTTTGTCACTGTAAACCATACTTCTTACTGGGTATAGGAACTAGGAGAGGAAAAAAAAAAGGTTTGGAAAAAAAAAAAAAGGAAAAAGTTTATGGGGAGGGGATTAAAGCTCATGAAAATATTATCCTGATCTGATCTTAACTGTCCTCATAGTTAAAAGACATTTGCTGAAAGGACTGGAAACCCATCTGCACATCTCAGTGACTGCTGGTCTAGTCTGCAGCAGGGGCAGATTCCTTTTTTTTTCAGAGGTTACTCCAGAAACCGTGGTGCAAGAATGGCTTCAACCCCAGCATCTGAAAGAATGTGCCTCCTCCTCCAAAGCTAGCTTCCAGTAGTCAAGAAGTGGGCATGAGAACCCTGCAGCTGCACTCTGCACAGGGGAGAAGGGCAGTATCTGCGTGGACTATTTGTATCTGCAGTCAGACCTGCAGGGCCCACTTCAGGCAAATACCTCTTAGAGAAGAATAGTTGTGTTTTATTTCTATGCTGGAGAGCCTGGACTGGAACCAGCAGCTGCAGCCTATTATTACAGACGGTTGGGAGAGTGGAGAGATATCCATAGCAATAAATCCCCTTGAAATGGGAAATACCAGGAAGGTAAGAATCTGCTACTGCTGAGCAGAGATTTAATGCACAGTCCTTACAGCATATTGCTCCTTAGCTGTCTGTACAGGGGTCAACTAGAGCCACCAAAGCCTTGGTGTCTGAGGTCCCATCTACACTAGGAGATTGACCTACTGCTGATCACTACCAATGGTTTTTCTGAGGACCTGAAAACGCCTGAATTAAGAGGTGGAGTTTGGGGGTGCAGGGATGTTTAGGAATAACTGCCATGTGTGCAATCATAAGCACTGGGTTACTTCCCTCAAGCACATAAGGGATAATAAGACTAACTTTGTGATGATGGCGATAGAGTTATTTTATGCCCTACGCTTCTATCATGATCTTGGTCCATCTCCATGCTTCAGAGAACCTGCATGGGAGCTGTCAAGAGCTACCAGGCCTTGACCCACCTTAAAAGTGATAGTGGTGGACTATGTTCCCAGATTATTTCTATATACGTCTAAAACCAAAGCTGCCTTATTATAATAACTTAAAAACCTAACTAAAACTGAACGTGGTGAGGAAGGAGTGTGCGCTCCCTCTGCTGGCTACAGATGAGCAGCTAAAGAAACCCACTAAGCTAATGAGCTCAGCTCATCCATCCTCCTCATCAGCCAGAACGCTGGCAGCTGGACATAAGCAAAGAGCAGCCATGCTGGCTCACAGCACTAAAATCTCAATAAAGGACAGGGCAATGCTATGAAAGAAGCATGAAGTTCAAGTGTAAAGAACTTCTCTGCATACTTTTAAAGCATCCAAAACCAGCATGTAGCAAGAATTTCTCTCAACTATTTTACTAAAATTTTGCATTGAATTGCACCTAATTTCTCATTAAAACCTCCCCTTTGTCTAGGGAGTGCAGATCGTAGTGTCCCTCCAGAGTGCAGATCGTAGTGTCGTGTAGTATGCTGAGAACTGCCTTTTCCCGAGCTCCCTGAAATAAATATTTTATTGCCTGTGATTTAGTAGCAAGCTGCCAAGGTAATTTACATGATTTTGAAAACCAGTTTTAACTCACTGTCTGAAATAATTTCTCAAGAGCTCCTAAGAAAGATGCTTCATTCCTAGCGTGTACATTCACTTATTATTTAGGGGACTCTAAAATTTTTGTGCATCACTCCAGTTAAACAATAAAATATCAAACCCCCAAGGAATATATGTAGAATTGCATGGACTTTGGTATAAGTTCAGTGTCATTAGAGACCTAACAGTAACAGTGTCCCTCTGAGAGGAGTTTTCCAGCTCAGTTTTAGTGTGTCCTGGTCAGCACATGATCTACGTCCTGCCAGCTGCAACCCCACAGATCCAGTGGAAGGATCCACAAGAATGATACTCTCTCCTGCAACCCTCGTGTTGACCACCAACCACTGTAAATCACAGTCTGTAATGAAATAGATCTCCAGCAGGATACTCACTAATAGGTGCATGCAGCGCCACATGTTCCTGGTATGGAGTGTAGTATTTGTACTGCTTGCCACAGAATTCACAGGTGTAATTGCCAGTTTCTGTGAAGATGAAACAAATACAAAGATCAGAAAGGAGTGCAGAACCCTCTCACACAATCACCGACTTCCCGACCTTTTACACAGAAACTGGCCAGGTGACAAAAACTAGAGCATATTCTTCATGCACTTGGAACTTATCTGCTCTGTAATTCACACAACCTTTTCCCCAACAAAGGAAACAGTTAAAGCCCATCTACAGAGTGATGGACCTTTTGTAAGAAGTCCAGCAGAACTAAACAAGCTACAGGCGATTATCCCAAAATTACAAAAAGTAAGCATGCAAAACAAAGGAGAGAATCCATTTCTGAACTCTATATTACAGATGACACAGTTTTGTCTTCTGGTTACGGATAGTCTGTGATGTGTGGACAACAGGAACAGCCAAACTAGTAAACAAGTTGCCAAGTTCAAGTCTTAGTGACAAAACTTTTATATTTGGATTGTAGATTTCTCTTGCAGGAGGAGGGGCTTTTCTGCAATAACTGTGCTTATTCCTGCTTTGGGGATACTTGAAATAACAAAGTAGTGTAACCACACACTGACACCTCCCACTCCTACCAGTGCTGGGAAGTACAGAACTGACAGTTAGCTGCAAGCCAAAGGAAAATCCAAGGTTCATTAATTGTTTCCAAACCGGAGAATTCAGAGAAATGCTTTGGCAAAGTCTGGTCCTCTCTCTGCCTCACTCTAATCTGTTTGATGAACCCATCACAAAGGCAGTGTGAATGCAATTACCTGCCAACTCTGTCAGTACACCTTAAGACTCTCTCTAACTGCCCCCAGCTTGCTTTTCTCCTGAACCTCCTTCCTCTCCTCTTTGCAGAGCTCTTGAGCAGAAAACATCACAAAGCTGCATTTCTTAGGGCCAGGCTGTTGGTGTTTGGTGTTCATCTGAACCTAAACATATCTTTCAGCATGCCTAAGGACCCAACACCTCTGTGTAACACAGTGCTTGTGGTTTTCCTACAGGTATTCCAGCTAATGTCAGATTTGAAACCCTTCTGCTTTCTCTTTCACATTTCAAGCTGTATAATAATAACTCATACTTGGACCAATCTTCTGAAACGGTTCCGGCTCCTCCTCCTTCACTTCATCTGCTGCTATGACAGCCTGGTCATAGGGGTCTGCAAGAGAACAGAACCAGCAAGTGAGCTGATAACACCCTCAGGCTTTCCTTCTACAGCTGCATGGGCACTGAATGCTCCTGCATCTGTAATGACATCTCAATCTGTAACAAGATTTCAAGATAGGAATTATAAACCAAATGACCCCTCTCTGTCTGACCTGTCCCTCCTCCTCAGGTCTCCAGGATTACTCCCACTTCCAGCCCAGTAACGTCTGTAGGTATATAGTGTTTAAAAAATACAGAGAAAGACTGAACAAACACATTGGAAAGCCTCATCCATATTTTCTGGTTTTCTTCCACTGCATCTCCTATCTAATGATGTTATACTGTCTGAAAGTGGGCACAATAAAGCAGTCTGCAAGCAAGTCAGCTAACAAATACTGACCAGTGACTTCCTAACATCTAACAGCACAGCTAGCAACAAATCAGAACCCAACCCATTTTATAAAATAATTTAATTTATGCCTTGAACAATTCACTAAATCACCAGAGACATGAAACGCCTGCTTCTTTGATTTTCAGAAGCCTGATCAATTGTATGTACAACAAAAGCCTGATATCTACTAGGGCTGGGCATCAACCTACAGGCTGTAGACACTGGGGGAGGGAGAGAGGACGCTCCCTCTCCTGCTGCAATCAGTGACAAAACTTCCTTGACTCTTACAAAGTGTAGAATTGGACCTGCTGTGCCTGAACTACTGAATGCTTGAAAAGGTTTGTGAAATAAAGCACACAAAGGATCTCGGCTTACCTGCCCGGTTTTCTGGGGCCCCTTCCACACTAAAAACTAACACAGAATAGAAGAAGGAGGGGAAGAAACAAAACAGAAATTAAATCCTCTTAAATGGCCTTGTTTTCCTCCTGTATTTCACACACTGTTTCAGCATATTTCAGCCCCACAGAAGAAACCAGGCTTTGTGCCCCAGTCCCTCCTCTTCCCAGTAGCATCCACACAGAACTATTTGAGCATGCCCAGCCCTAATATACACAGATTCTCAAGGCCTTTGTCCTGACACTGACAGCCCCACGTAAAGTTCAGCTGCACAGCTGCCTCACACTTGCATTTGCTGACACAACCAGCCCCTTGGAGGAACTGAGATAAAGTGTCCTTGCAAGACACAAGTGGAAGCCATTTCCAAAGCCCTCTTATAACCCTAGGCAGAGCTCTCTGAACACATGAGAAGACACATGAGGTATGAAGACACATTTCTAACAGAAGCAGACATGTCCATCTCACAGTGACTTTCAGTCCCAGCAATTTAATTTTGGCTCCCCGTGGGATGAAGGGAACTTGCAGTGGTGCACCGCAAGAGCATGTTGGCTGTTCAGAAGTCCACATGTTCCAGTCAAAACCAGCAATTTTTCTGGACACCACATATTGTGAAAAAACACTTAGTTTTCTGAGACAGTCCAACCATCCAAAACCTTCTGCTTTCCAAGCAGCCTCTTTCTTAAACTCTGCCAGGGTTCCCTCCCTGGCCAAGTGAGGAGCAATACCAACAGGCTTGTAGCATACACAAGTGAGGATTTGAGTATCTGTGGGCCCTGAGTCAAGGAGCTTTAGATGCCCAGTAAGCATGGGGCAAGCCAACAACAGTACGTTGTTGCTTCTATTTCCCCCAGTATAGCAAAAAGAAACACTGCTTCTAGAGGAAGGTGTCTGCTTCTGTCCGAGTGTCACCAGCCTAGGCCACATCCACATTCACAGAGGAAAAACTGGCCTGTAAGGTCCACTGACAACTGCATCAGTTCACTACCACAGTGATTAACAAGAACAAAACAACATTTGTCAAGTCTCAAATGTGGTTTCTCACAAACGAGCATGTTGGGAACAATCCTGTGAAGTCAGAAACCAAGCAACCAACTCTTGCCCAGTGAGCAGCCAGACAGACAATTTACCTTGAGGGACTCAGCCCTAGCGTATCTATCCTAACCATGAACCTTAATACAGACAGGAGGACTGCAAGGACTACAGGTTGCAGGAGAGGGTGTTATTTTGATGCACGCAAAGAAAATCAAGTACAGCAAACTTTTTCCTGCAGCGCCCGTGGACTGTGCCTCCTCTGACCAAGATGAGCGAGCCATGCTGTGCCATGTCCTGTACATCATGGGCCACACGGTCTGGCAGAACCACATTTTGCCTTCCCCAGGATAACACAGCAAAGACTTCTCATAGTTTGAGTGTCTAAGTGTCAAAAGTACTCACCATCCACGGCATGTAGGTCTCTGTGCTCTTGGAAGCAGCTATAATATTTATATTTTTTCCCACAGATGTCACACGTGTACCTAAAATTGTCTGCAGAAAGAAGAAAACAGGTCACTTTAGAAACTTTGAGGTAAAAGGCAAGCACTCCAGACAATGCTGTTCAGACACCCCCATGCGGTTACATTCATCCCACATGCTCTGTCAAACCCCTAAGGCACACAGACAACCACTGCTTCACAATGTCCTCTGCCTGCCCTATGCTATATGGCTTGAGGCATATTCTGATTTGTTATTTCCTATTCAGGCAGCTCTGCTCTCCAGTACAGCCTCCACAGGACCGCACAACAATGAAGACAGGGCAGCTGAAATCTCCTTTGGAAGCTACAGTAGGCAAGTACTGGTCAGGACAGGGACAAACTGGAAGAACTAAACACAGAGTCAACATATGAGCTGTTATGTCAAAATGTTAATATGACAACTACAACATGGGCTGGATGTGCCCACACACTCACACCACACTTGGTTCTCACTGCTGCTGCCTGCTGACTATGAACTGCATCCAAGATCCTGTATGGGCACGTTGTAACAAACAATACCAAAGAGAGCCAACAATCCAGAACATGCAGGACAGTAAAGTGCTCAATGAACAGGACGACTGATGGAACCAGGTTTCATATATGTTTGTACCCTAGATGGTCTCCCTTCATCCCAGCAACAACAGACCTCCTTCAGCACAGCTGTGTGTGAAGACAGACGGATGCAAAAAGGCTCAAGATGCTTCTGAATTCATTTTGGTCTAACTGGGAACAACAAATGTCTGGCTCAGCTATCACATCAGTGTAAGAGGAAAATTTCACTTGTCAGCTTGGTGAGGTTTTTCCATCTTGTGATGTCTGACATACACCTTGGAGTACAGACTGACATCCATAAGCAGTAACTTGCAGCATTGCATTTGTCAGCTGACCACAGTAGCCGATGGGTTGCATGCTACTAACCCACTGCAAACAAAGTAAAACACATTAGCTTGTGTAGCCACAAAGGATCTTGAAACTCATGTGTTTTACTTCACAACAGGAGCAGGCTAGGAGTGTACACATCAGCTACAGTGGCTCCACAGATGAGCTGCCATTCAGTTAGCTCCCCCGCAGTAACTCAGTTTGTATTCATGTACCCATATGATTAGCAAAGTTAAAGCCTTGGTGTTACCTCTTCATGTTTACCATGTTCAAACACACCAGAGTATGCACATTAAGTAAGTTTTTATTTTACTTCTCAATAATTTTATTTTTAAAATAAGTATTTTAAGCACTGGTACAGTCTAATCGCTCACTTGGGATCACTACTGGAGTCCATCAGCATGTGGCGTTTCAACACTAAATGAAGAATCACTTTCTGCCCTTTATTCTGCTTGGCAGAATGAAAGTAGAAGCTATGGCGATCTACAAGAGAAAAATGCCAAATATAAAAGGTGTTAAACAGCTGGGCACTGGAACTTTACCCCAGCTACCAAAAAATATTTGTATCTTAATCAGACCACATCAACACTAAGCTAGATCTAAGGGATTTTTAAAAGTCTAGGCTGAACAAGAGAGACAGAGCCCAGGCATATACACCAAGATGAAAAGGATTCACTGCTTCAGACAGTGCACTGCTTAAGAAAGAGGAAGAGACGCAAAACGTGACTATAAGAATAAGTGATAAAAGCACTGGTGGGTCACAGTTAGCTATGCTTCATCATATAACCTTATGCAGTCTCCTGTGGTCATACAACAGCGCTGAGCATCAAAATCTACCTCAGACCCTTTCTGACAACAAATGATTGCCACTGAATAACTGTGTATCTGTTGCAAAAAACCCCCAGTCGATTATTAGCAGAGAAAATTCATAACATGTCGTCAGTAATCAGTCCCACATCACTGTGTGTCCCCAAGACAAGAAATCAGCCTCCTTTTTTGAAGTGTAATGAGCCATGCGGTAAATGAACTGAAGACTAATTCTTCAAAGGAGTACCAAATACCAAGCACTTTCAGTACCTCCATTTGGAAGAAGAAAACTATTATGGCCTTAGTTTGAAAGAAAAGTGCTCAATAAGTAAGGAGGCTTGTTAGAATAAAAATGCTAAATGCTAGAGGCACACCGGAGACTCAAACAGGCATGACTAGTTGTAGTCTCTGTAACTTCAGGAAGATTGTGGGGATCTCACTGTCAACAGCAGAGACTTGAGCAGCACATGCTGGGTATGACCACTTCCTTCCCTAGGCAGTGTGGGGAAAATGAAAACAAGATAAAAAGTATAACAGCACACCCCAAGAGAATAGGGTTTTGCTTGTTTTGTTAGGGGACTGTTTTCCCTAAGGAAGAATGACCTCCAGAGATTACAGTGAAACAAGCTGTTATGAGAAGTAAGAATTTCTTCCAGCTGGTATTGGTACTAATCTCCTCCTTGACTCTTTAAAGGAGATAACACCCAGCAAATGGTGCCAAATCTCAGAGACAAGGAGGTTTATGGAGAATTCAGGAAGTACCAGGAGACTGCCGATGTGTAGCTAAGCTTTACCCTCTGTGAACAACAGTCACTCTTCCAGGGCGGCACCCAAGGACTTCTTCCTTCTTACCCAATAAAGCTGCCTTTACTGACAGCCGTCGAACGCTTCCAGTGCTGTTCCCAGCAGTGACAGCTTTCTTAGCATGGAACAGAATTAGCCTGTACCCTGCTACTTTCCCTGCTCTGGGTTATAACTACTACACTAAGATAAGACTCCAGCTGGGGCACCAAACCCAATGTATGTAACAACAGCTTTCAACACGAAGAGCTACAATTGACTCCAAGCGCTCAGGTGTGTCTGCAAGCCCATACTGAAACTCCCATCCCTAAACTACTGAAGAGATGGCACCAGACGTAGCCAAACTAATGCTACTTAAGCAAGTCTGCTCAGATTCAAGCTCTCTCCTATCACCAGGTAGAGATTAATGCAGTGCAGCTCCACCAAAAGCAAAACCATACCAACAGGCACTATTAGAACTTAAGGAAAAACACAGGGAAAGATACTAATTAGTCCACTAGAACAGAGGTCCAGTGCCGTTGCTTATTGGTGTTCAAGCAACAAGTCCTGCAAAACACATCCCTGCTGCAAGCTGAGCAATCACTGTATTACACTGCTGCAAACCTGGAGTTTCAAAATGCTTAAAAGACATCCAGTTAAAAACCAAATTACAGCAAACAGAATTTCTCCTTTATGCTCATGACTCTTTCCAAGGGGAGCAGTGATTCCAGACAGATGTCTAAGGAGTAATGGCCTTATATAGTCAGCCCACATTTAATCTTGTGAAATACACACACCAAAATACAGCATCACTTCTTAGGAGAAAAAAAAGCAAGCAACAGCTGTGTTACAAGGCTCTTCCTCAGATACAAAGGACTCGTGTATTGAGATGGCAAACAGGCAGGTTTTTCAAGTACCCCAAGAAATATCTCCACAGGACCTGAAAGCATTTTTACCACTCTGCTTGCAAGTGCACCTCCAGTAAAAGACTGGGAATGTGCTGCTCTTTTCTGTCTGTCTCCCAGAGCTGCTGCTGGCTGGCTCCTGTGGTGTGGTCTGTGTTCAGCAGTGACGCATAGCTGCTGAAATACCCTGCCCTAGGGAAGATCAGCCAAGTCATCTTTCTTTTCAGATGTTACATTAAATATTTTGAGATTTTGTTGTTGTTGTTGTTGTTTTGCTTCAAATATTCAGCAGAGAAGAAAGCATATATTTCATTCTGGCAGGCAAGAGAGAGGGCAGAGAACACATGCCCAGCAGCGGCAGGCAGAAGAGGCTTCTTTCCCTAGGGCACCTGGCCCAGGCCTGACCTCAGTGGATTTTGCTCTAGAAACCCAGGAAGAGAACAATAGCAATCAGAAATTTTTTGAAAGGTCAGGACTTCTGTATCACAATCTAAAAATACAGATTGTTCAACCCACCCTTGTAAGTGCAGGAATCCAAGACCACAAAAACTGTGTACAAACTAGTTTCCACGGGGCTCAAAGAGCTCTGTGCAGCATCACAGAAACCTGAATTGGAAACAGTTACATACATCATCCAGATGACATCCCTGCAATGATGACAGCACATCCCGTGAAGGGTCCAGAATGATGGGGTCTCCACACAGCAGGCTGCAGGAGCTTCTTAAGGACTCCTCCAAGGTGAAGAACAATTTTCACCTGACACAGAATTCATACTGACATTTCAAATGGAAGAAGCCACAAAAGCTACTTGGTAGAGGAGCTCTCATGGCAATCAGGCACTTTGCAAATACCCTTGAATCCTAAGTGATCCTACTCTCACAGAGCACTGCAGAAATAGCTGCCTAGTAGGGACAGCCTCCAGATGTGGAAGGCCTCAACTGCTGAATATAAACAGATTGCAACAGCCTGATGAATTATTCCTAAAATCCAGCAGTTTTCCAGGTCCCAGTCAAGTAAAAAGCAGCAAAATTAAAAAAGAAGAGAGGGCAGTCTGGGCAGCACTACTTGTTCAGCTCCATCGTCAGGATGGCACCTTAACACCAGAAGGTTTGAGAACATCAAAGGAAGCATGAAACTCCCCGAATTCCATGTTCCTGGCTCACCTTGGGAAACAAGTTTCCCAAACAGTTCATAAAGTCCAGCAGTATCTCTGAAAGGGGAGGGGGCTGGATTTCTTACAGTTAAGCCCGCTGCAATACATTTATCTGTCATCTCTCTGTTTGAGGTTGTGATGTTTCTCCCCCCCAGCAGGCTTTCTGAGACAGGCTGATGTGACAATGGAGTATCAGCATCGTCCCTCCAGCCATGGCCAGTGGATCGCAGGACAGTCCAGGAGATGCTCTGATGCTCAGCTTCACATTCTTTAACTGTTTCCTGAAAATCTGTTGGAATCCTTATGAGTGCTGCTGGTGATAAACACAGAGGGCTGGAGCTGGTGAATGGCTGTGTAGCAGTAGCCGAACAAAAGGATCATCTTTCCTGGGATGTCTGCCTCACTGAAAGGAATCACGAGCAACTCCAACACTCTTCCAGTAAGAGCCAAAGCCACCATAACTAAACCACCTGGTCCGAAGAAACAGAAAAGGCTGGCATTTTCTGAGGTATGTGCTGTATGCTTGCCACTGGGAAACACCTTTCCAAGATGTGTCCAGAGCACAGACTACCTGAGCAGCCTCCCCTGAAGAAGACCCAGAGTGCAGCTACTGCTTCCTTACAACACAGGAGGGAGCAAAAACGTCTGGGACCCTCACTTGTTTCTGTGGATTCCACCCAGGGCAGCACAAAGACAGCTCTGGAGAGAGGCTTCTTCTCCCTTTCCGCAGTCAGAAGGGCACCTAGATGGAAAGGAATATATTTATGGCTTCCTAAACTAGCAGGATATTCCCCGCGCAGGTTCACAGACAGTTCCTTTGACCTAACCCTTTGGCATCCTTAGGGGCTTCCTTCTAGGTGCTGGACTGGCAGTGGGGAGAGGCAGAATGCAGGTTTGCAGACACAGAGCTTACTGCCTGTAGACCTCCATATACTCCTCATTCAAACTGTGTTCTCACACAGAAGTTATGAGCTTTACAACTGCATTTTACAGCCAAGTAGAGAGTTGCCAATAAAATCAGTTGCAATCTACATCAAGCTTAACTTAAAGGTGTCTAATGGCAAAATTCCTTGAAAAGGGAGCAGGACTGAGCCCAAAGTCAGCAGCAACCCCTTAAGAGGATTAAAGTATCCAGAGTTACATTAGTTAAGATTAAATAATAATAAAATCCAGAAATTTGGAAAAGACAGAAACCCTCACACACAGAAGCACGAGCCAGCTCCTAAGTGGGGGTTAGGAAAAAACTTTCCCCGTGGGCAAACTATTTCAGGATCACTCATTTCATGATCATTTACTTCCTTGCCACAAACATTTGGCCTTTGTCAGGAACACTGGAGACATCTAGGCACACGCTGACCTAGCCTAGCATCATGCTTCCCATGTTCTGCAAAGGGGGGGTCCCTCAGGCTGCAAACTACCAAGCCAAGAAGGCGGCAATCCCAAATCCTCACACAGAGGGGCCAAATACTTGAAATTACCTTAAAATAGTGCAAGACGCTAGCTCCCCTTCAAGCTGGCAAGGGGCTACATCACAGGTGAGAGGGCAGAGCCACAGGCTTCTGCTCAGTTTCTCACTGAAGCATCAGAGATTAGTCCCAGCTCCTAAGAAGAGCTGCTGCAGATGCATTCAGTAGCTACGGGACTGACTTCACCTTACAGCATTTTTTAAGCTGCTTTCAAGTAGGTGGCCAGTGAATCCTGTGAATTCTGTGATACATTATCCAAACCACATGTCAGCAGAATGTATCAGCACCATGGAGATTTAAATGCAGTCCATCCAGGGCTGTATGTAATCCCTCAAGGTTTAGAAACTTGATTCTGGACTAGAAGGAACTTCCATACAGAGGGGAATATCCTGAATTAATTTCTGAAAGACAGTGCACTTGTTCATAATAGTCTGATGCTCACATACTGTAATTTTTTTTAAACATTTTGGGGAAAAGGTTTTTTGGGTACTACTCACTCGATGTTGAGGGAGAAAAGACTTCCCAGGCATTCTCAGGATGTTACACATCAATGAACTTCCTTCTCCCACAGTTAAAAGTATGTTAAAGTTGAATCCAAACAGACAGCAAATATCAGCAATTTAAAGCAAAAATATAATGGCATTTTACAATTATCCCCCAAATCAGCATTATGAACCAGGATATTCAGACAAAATTCAGACACACCAGACAATATAATTAATGCCAAAGGGTCTAGTTTCATATGTCTTTATTCTGGTGTCACTTCAGGGCAGCGCTGGATTCTTTTTTATTCAAATTATAACTACATGTAAGATAAAGAGTGCTGAAAAGAGTGCGTTAAGCTGCTACTACCAGCAATTTGACAATGAACAGCCTCAATCTTGCATAATTGAAAAAAAAAAAAACCAAAGAGGTGTACTAGTACACACCTAACTTGTCGATGCAGGAAGATTTATCTTTTGTATCAATAAGGATGCTGAATCTCCATCTTAAGTGAAAAACTCAATTCGGCCCACATGGAGTTATGCACAACACACAATAAAGGCTGTTTTAATCTCCTTTTGGAATCAAAATGGTTTGGCTGAGAACACACTACTTATCTACTTCAGAACTGTTTAAATGATGCAGTACTGAGAGTTTCGTAAAGGAAAAGCAAACTTCATCTAGACTCTTCCCACTCATTTGTTCATGACTAGAAATTTTGTTCTTACCGTGATTTCCGGATGGGAATTCACATGCAGTATCACTGCCTAGTTTCCAAAGCCAAAAGGAAAAGTGATAGTTAAATGACTGAGCAGCGCTGGAGAGGAGATCCTGGCTCCATAAAACTTTGTAAAGAACAAACTGAAATTAAAATAAGCTAGGAAGGATGCAGAACCCTCCTTTCCACAATCACTCAAGAAAATCAAGAACTCTAACCTTTTTGCTTAGGTTGAAAGGAAGAGGACTTAAGAAGGTAATCCTTGTATTGCTCTGTCTTTCCTCGTTATCAATAACCTTAGAAGTGAAAATACTGAGAATTTAAATACTTAAAATACTTAAAGTGTTTTGGGGTTTTTGTGTGCTATTCAGGTTCAACACTGTTGAAATGCCAACAAGCAGCTCAACAGACAAAGATTCAGTCTGAAAGAAGAATTTTGAATAATTAATGGCATTGCTGTTTGTACACCTTTTCTGTTGCTAAATTTCAACCCATGTTGGAAGATGGAAGTGCATCCCTTCTTAATGAATAGTGGAGGGATGTATTTCTATCTTCAGTAAAGCTCTCCTGGCATTTTCAGGACAAACTGATGGATTATCAGAACAGTCTGGGATTATTAAAATTCTTATCCTTTGTTACTAGAATATATTTCTCCATCAATTTTGCTGCCAAGGAACTCTGTAAGAGATTTGTTGCAAAATATTAACATCCAGATATCTGTAAACACGGTCTATTTGGTTGGTATCTGGGAAAGGTGCAGAAATTTAGTTTTTATGGGTATAGTAGCAATTTTCTGTGTAAAATCATGTGAAGATCACAGATTTATAGACGTTGTGAAAGCCTCATTTTCTAAAATCTCAGATTAAAACTACACAGAGAAACTGGTCCTCTCCTAAGCTATGAAACTGCAGGACTTGCATGAACATCAAGACCTCCAGCATGACTGCGATGTCTGTCATGCTCCTGAGCACACCTTATGTGGTTATAAGGCAAGACACCCAATAAGATACCCAAAGTGAGAACATCCAGAAAGAACCCTTAGTATAACAGTTATGTTAGAAGTGCAACTTCAAATTTACCCTATTAAAAAACAGGTCCAGGAATTGTTACCTATTTCACCCAGCTGCAAGAAAGATGTTGGTGCTGTAATGTGAAGGCACTGGGTCAGAACTAGCAAACAGCAGCAGAAAAAGGCAAAGGGAAATACATCTCCCATGTTGCGGGAAACCTGAGAAACTGCAGTGATAACCTCTCTCCCATTCCAGTCCTGCAGTGTACTCAGAGAAGGAGAATGCAAGAGCAAGCCAGGGGAACCTCTGTTAGGGCGCAATGGACAGCACTGCACCTTGCCAGAACACTCTTGTTCCAGGGAAGAATAAATGACCCCAGCACCAGAGCTGCAAAGAAATATGCACATGTGAAAGGCAACAACTACAGCACTGAAGGAAGGTATCTTGGGTCTTAAGGTCAAAATTTCTTCACACTGGAGATCCCAGATCTAAGTTCCTTATTACTTTTTTAATGTCTTCCTCCTGCACTGAAATTTATCATTCTTGGTCTCAGCCCATTGGTCATTTAAATTTGAAGATGAACATATTAATCTACTTGTTAGGCAAATGGGAATCTAAAGAGACTTCACCTACTTAAAATGCAAACACATTAGAAAAATAAAATCCATTTTTATAGCTCTCCCCAAGGAGCAGGAGAATTATTAAATAAGAACATTGGAAAAATTAATCACAAAGTTGTAAATGCCTAACAGTTCATTCTGCATGTGTATGTGGGTGTGCACACACACACACATCATTTACATTAGGCTTTTAATTGGGTAAGGCATTAGTAAGTTTTACCAAGCACAACAATGGAACTTTCCATTTTTTGCTCTGGTACCCCCCCAAAAAAAGTAAAAGGAAATCAAAAGCTAAAGTTTACTTTAAGAAAACATTAAGGTTGCAAATTTGAATATGTAAAATTAATCAAAAAATGGAGATGCTAAAGGTTCTTCCTCCTTAACCTTAATTAACACCAGCAAACCACTTACGTATCTTTCGATCACTAGTCAGAACATTAAAATCACCATATCCTGTATGTGTAAGGTCTGGGCAAGGAAACCTTGATTTTGAATATATTAATTTAATGGGTTTAAATTCACAACCCTCAAAATGTTTCTGCACATGTAAGGCATTAGCACCATGCCTCCACAGTTAACGTTTGCAAGGCATATTCCAGCCCACATCCTTGCTTCTAACCTTTCACTGCTTTTTCAAATAAATTCCTTCTTAGGCTGAACTTTCTCATGCTTAGTCAGAGCCCAAAGGGAAATAGGCTTTTAAAAGATCAGGCCAATCATTTTTTATTTATGGGGTTGTGAAATATTTACTACGTATTCCATTTTGGAAAAAAAAAATGCAATTTTATTTTTTTCTCCTTGTAACTAAATAATGTCACACAGTGGAGACACACTCTTCATGGCTGCTGTCCTGCACGCAGGTGATGGGTTTAAATGCATTTGCCTATGAAACTGGAAAGGAAAACATTGTGTTTGCAGCCTACCACATCCTCAGATCCAGATGGAAGTTAGTGTCTCCCCTACCACCAAAGGTCTTATCTTAACCCAGCATCATCTAGTACATAATAAGCAAGTATGATACTACTGTGAATAGGGAAGGAGAAAATAAAGCTCACAGACAACAGCAGAGTTGTATTTAATTTTCAGAAAACACACCTCCTGACCCATGACCAATCTGATGAGAATTACAGACAGCTACCAGGAGTTGGTATGTAATCACAAACTAAAACATAACGCTGCATTGAGGCAGAAATGTTTCACTGCATCTAGATATCTGATGAAAGGGACTGAAGATCTGGCAAAGACAAATGACTCGGACATCATAAGGCACCACTAAAAAACTGTGCCACAACATGGGAGCTTCAGCATGAGAGAACTGAACAAGCTGGCAAGTCCCCAGCAGCCAGCTCTGCTGTACCAGAGCCATGTGTTTCCCTCCAAGCTTGGGCTTTGCCGCAGCTTAGAGTCAAGCTCTGAATGCAGGATGGTGATGCAACTCACTGGTA